TTATCCCATATTTTAATTACACTATTCATGGAAATAATCCAACATTTTCTAAATCTGACTCGATTTGTGACATTTTTGTCCTCTGAATTGAAAATTTCAAGATTTTTCAAAAACGTTAGAGCCTCTTCAAAAAAATCTAATTGGAATTTCGAACGTTCTAGAACGTTTTTTATTCATAGGGATGTCGTAAAGAACACGAATTTAACAAATCAAAAAGGTTATTGAATATCTATTATGTGTATTGTACCAAAAGAAGAAGCAAGAAGTAAGTTAATTGCCACCAATGTATTCATTCCACTGGCAACTGTACGGCTTAGAACTAATGTTGTTAGACTCACTTTCATTTTTTCAAAATTGTTTGGATTGATATGTGATTTGGTAAGATTTGGTGCGAATCTATAAAATTGCCTCATGTCTTGCTCATAAAAAGAGCGCAGAAAAGACCAAGATGTACTTTTGCCTTCAAAATGAAATGAATGTTTTGAAAAATTGTTCCTAGTGGCTTTTATCAAATGACTTGGATCAAAAATATAAACAAGTTTTTTTACCACCGAGCTCAAATTCAGATTCTTCTAAAGTGACCCCTAATAACTTTGACAATTCATAAAAGTTAGAGCCCATGTCACTCACAAAATGCCATCAACATGTAGACCTACAATATTGGATAATTTAGAAATGCACTTATCCAAAATATCACGTAGATTTTTTGCTGGTAGCTGTGATTCAATGAAAAAAAGTAATCGATTGTTTCCAGGGAGAATAAAGTCCTCTAGCCATAATAACGAGAACATTTCTACATATGGAATTCCTCTTATTTGCCTCTCCAGTATCTTCGAAACCAATAATTTCATCACATCCTGTATCAATAAAAAGATTGGATTTTAAAGCCATCTCATCTATAGATATCACACATCGCTTGTCCTATTCGAGCATTGTTTTAATTTTAATTTCAAGTGCCTTAAATATTGCTGAATTTTCTATTGTTTCTCTCACGATGTATTCTTCAAAACTAATTATCTACTGAAAACTCTTGCTTAAATAGCATAATTTTAATGTATACCGAGTTAGGTAGGTACCTTTTGTAACTAACTACCTACCTCATTATGTTTGCTCTGTGCTCACAGACTAATGGAGACAACTAAGCCCGAGAATGAAGTGGAGACAACCAAGTCGACGCATGCGTCTACGAAAAAGAGACACAAAATGGCCGTCTTTGTCGCTTCTCTGTGGTAGGTATTCTCGGCCGATGAGTCCACTGTTTGATCTGATGGATTCATTTTTTGGTCTATTCGAGTCGTTATCGCGTTTGTATTGGATGAAGTAATCCAACGGAAATTTTCTGAATCAAAGAATTCCCCTTAATGACACAAATAATGATATGTCAGTCGGACTCTGAGTAAAGAAGAAAACGTTACGAGATTCGTCAGTTGTTTGGTCGTTTTTTGTTTGCTGCTTGAAGTTGGATAACAAAATAGCAATAACAAAAGTAACTCATCATCATGTCATTCAAAAACGATCTGAAACAACTCTTCAAACCTTACTACATATTCAATATTCTGCTGAGTTTTTCATATATTGTAATTAAACGGTTGCCAATAGTTTGTAACTATGTGTTTTCTACAAATGATTGTGAATTTGATGGGGTAAGGCAAATAATTGTGTATGAACAATGTTACAATTGAATAATTGGTTTTTAGAGAGAAACGGAAATCCTGTTCTTTCTTATAATAGTAATAGCATTGAGAACAAGAAAAGCAGGAAGTGTTACAATGATAAATTATTTATCATCAAGTTTTACTTATACCAAAGTTGCCAATTTGATACTGTGGTTTAGTGCTGACTTTTTGATGGGTTTGGTATTTGCTGTAATAATTATACGTAAGTATATTGACAATGTACTGGAAATGGGTTCACAGTGTGTTAAATTCCAGTGATATTTTAGAATTAAAATAATGCCCGTATTTATTTCAGTTGGTGCTTTATTATTACCAGAACCCACATACTCTGACCCTGATAAAGTTATTTATTTTCGAGGAGTGCAAGGTTTAGATGATGAATTAGCAAGAGATAAAAAAGTATCTTGGCTCATAACTTTTTACACCGCTTGGAATCCAGCCTGTGTTAACTTTGCACCTATCTTTGCTAAACTCAGCACCGAGTATTGCTTGGATAACCTTAAATTTGGAAAAATAGATATTGGAAGACATCCTGATGCAGGGAAAAAATATCATGTTAGTGACAGCAGCCTTAGCAAACAGCTACCTACTGTAATTCTGTTTCAAGAAGGAAAGGAGATAATAAGAAGACCTACGGCAGATTCCCAGGGAAAACTTATCAATTTTTTATTTTCCGAGGATAATATAAAAGCAGCCTTTGGTTTAAGTGGATTGTATGAGAAATGTAAACATATCCCACTTAAGAATACTAAACCTCATGTTGACTAATTTAGTGTGTTACTAGAAAAGACTTTTCTATGAAAGGTTTTGAAAAAACTGACATTGTTGTATGTGTGTTATTTATTTGAAAAAAATTTAAATGTAGGCCTTTTTTTGTAGAACAATAATTATATTTGTTACATTGCTTTTTAAATGTGTGAATAAATAAATTTGAAAAAACAATTTGTGTATATTATCTGATAAAATTTTTCCATTTAATTTAGAAAAGCACTTTTTTCAAATACAAAATTAAATAGGTTTTTCAATTAAAATAACATATTTCATGTGACAGTAATGATATATTTCAAAAAGATCATTAATTGTAAATATTTACAAATGTAGCTGTAATGTAAATAAAAACAAAAATTATTTTCATCTACCTTGCAGATGTAGAAGTATATCGCCTTAAAAAAATTTCATTCATTGAAAGTTCCCAACCAAAATGTATTCATTCTGAATCTGAATTTGGTGCTAATATTTCACCAAGGTTCTTTCTCGAAAATGTTGATTCAAAACATCTTCCAAAAACAAGCTTTGCTTTTTTTGTTTTTGGAGATTCTGGAGACAGGGGAATAATATCATCAACATCTTCATTCAGATGAGACTTCAATGGCAATTCAAATATTTTGTTTCTTTTATCACCTTGCTTCTTACTAAAACTGTTGGTACTGCTCTCAGTTCCTAGCTTAGAAGTGGCATTTCTAATTTTTTGTTTTGCCTTTGTCACTATTTCATGGAAACTACCTTTTTTAGTAATCATACAGGTTTCCAAAGGAATTTTATTGGTATCAATTTCCATATCGTCCCAATTCTCATTTTTAAGTGCCTCTCGATCCTCTGTAGTTATATTTTCTATATTTTTGTTCAGTTGGGTGATTTTGGCTGGAATAGAAGAGGCTGTCATCGTGCTTTGAGCATCACTATAAGGATTAAGCGTTGCTACTATGAAATTTACCTCAAATGTTGGATTTTTCATCACTATAGCAAGTGGTCTACAAAAAAATTGATTGTCATGAATTTTTATGAGGAAAAGGTTTTCATATATTCATTTCAACAGTTTCAATCTCGAATAATGGATTGAAACTAATTCATCATCAATTAATGAGAACATTGAAGAAAAACATATTTTTTATCCTCTCATGAGAGAGGATCAAAAATATGCCTATTTGATTCGTGAAAAACTTACTTTCCACCTTTTTCAAAATTGAGACCAATATTCAAATTGAAGGCTTCGGCAAACTGAATAGCTGTCCGAAAAGGTTTTAAAGAAAAATTGATTGTTGTTTCATCCTCAATTTGAAATACTGTGAATTCAGAACCATTTAAATTCACTTGACTTCTTACAGATTTTGGCCTAAGTGGTGCACCTTCAAATCATTAAATGAGTATAGTGATAGTTTTACCAAAAATTTCAACATACCTACACAATAATTTCTTACCAATACTTTATCTCTAGAGATTTCTAAGGTAATTTCATCATCTGAAGTACTAAATGTGTTTAATAACTGGCTATAAAGAGAACTTGTAGTTATTACATTGCTTGAACCCAAATCTGAACATACACCAATGGTGAGGGATTCTGCTTCCATCAGTCTCAATTTATGAATCATAACAATATCATCACATTTATACTTCATCTTGACTATTATTAAATCATTATTGTTTTCATATTCCAATTTGACAAATTCTAGCTGAAAAATCATGCTGTGAATATTTTCCACATCTTATATGAATATACCTTTTTATCGAGGTGTACTCCTTTGAATAAGGGTAAAAAAATTTTCATGTGGATTTTACAGAATATGGATTCTGAGTGTTCACTCAACTCATTTTCATCAATTTCGTAACTGGAAAAATAACTTTCTAATAAATAATAGCGGACACAAACTGTTTTTCTTAAGTTCAAGGCAATAAGACATAATTTTTCTTTTGAAGCTTCCATATATAAATCATCTCCAACTTTAGCTAGGGCCTGCAGAGCTCTTGCAAAAACTGAAATTATATTTATTGACTACAGTTACACTAAAAAGTTTACACCCACCTTTCAAATTTAGCCCTGGTATTATACAATTCATAATAATGCGTTGAAACCAGACAATTTTAGAAAAAACTTTACATTTTAACAATTATTTGAATTCGGTACATTTGACACTTCACATTTCTTCTTCCTTTTAAGCGGTCTCAAGCAGTGTGGCTTCGATGAAATTTCAAATAATACTAACCTTAAAATAGTACAACTTTAAAAAAATTGTATATCAGGAATAGTTACTAACCATCAAACTTATATTTTTATGAGGTCTGATGGTAATAGCTTGAGCTAAGGTCGAATGAAAAGATTTATTTCTTATCTTTATTGAATATTACTATCAAAGTTGCATTCGAGTTGGCTCCTAAAATACATAAAGTACCAAGTCGAATGAATTTACCCTTTTTTTAATTTTTTTTAAGTTTCTATGAAATCTCTTGCATTGGTATCAGACATTCAAATTTTGGCTAGTGCATTCAATGCCCTTCTCTGATCGCTTGAGCGAACGTCAACTTGAATGCAGCTCAATAAAAGAGTAAGTAAAGAATAATTTCACTCGTGAAGGAATCAAACTCAAAGCATATTTTTCCTGTGTTCAAAGCACATATTCCTCTGTGCCCAAAACCATGTGTGAAGTTTGTCGGAAAGCACGACTTCGTAATCTTTTTCTTCACTTTTCAATTTTTATTGGTCTTTGCTGTCAGAACTAATACTATAAAATAGTGCAACATGTGCAATTGTGTAACATAGAGTAACACTGGTCAGAAGTTAGTTGCCAAATTGTGACTTAGATTTACGTTTTTACCGGGAGATATCAGAGGCGACCAGAGATCATACATATGTCATTATTAGCCTATGAGATATGTGATTCAGTCTCACCGCAAAACTGCATTTGGAAATTTAATAAGGCAACGGTATACTCCAAACCCTAATATTGATATAATTAAAAAGTGGAACAATGATAATGAAAATTTTACCAAAACTATATTGGATGTATTCTGTTGGCTTTATTCCTAATTCCGCCAATATTTATTCATCATCCCTACTCGATCAAATAACGAGCATAGAGTGAAACGAGAAATAAATTAGAAAATTTCGCTCGATGAAGGTAACATAAAGTGAAACAAGAAATAAATCCATAAATGTTGCTCGACGAAGAAATCTGACAATTATAGGTTTGAAGTCATTTTTGACAGCGTAATCTAGACAATAAACTCTATATTACTTGGAATGGACCCGACATGTCAAGGGCAGTTGAAAGAGAAATAGCATTATTTACGGTAACCTTTCTTTGTCATACTCAAGCAAAAAAGTTATGGTTCGATGCATAAAATATGTTTCAGGTTTAAATTCAGATATTTCTGGGATTATATTTGCGAAGATATACATTTATGTTGCTCTAGTGTGTTATTATTTTCGCTTCCTTAGTCGTGTGTGGTTTAACAAACGCTTAATATTGTTGATGTTAATGGTGGTAGTTCTAAATAACAATTGTAATCTATTTTGTAGCATTTGGATACAAGAATGATCAGGATTATCGCCGACTATAATATTTAGAATTGGATATGAAAATAATTTATTTATCGACCTGTGGTTCTAGCATTGAATTTGGTCATTATTACGTCTTGGCCAAAGACGAAACTGACTGGTTTAAGTTTGACGATAGTCGTGTCACGAAGTGTTCTGTCGATGTATTGAATCTATTGGAGCCTCTGGAGACACCCTACATTTTGTTTTATGAGAGAGAGGACATTGGCAGATCAAGATCTTCAGATGATGTGGTGCTGCAGGTTTTTCCGGGTTTTCCTGCAGCTGAAAAAGCAAATGCGCCACTGGAATCAATGAAGTTGCCCCGGAGCGCCAATTAATTTTTATTGTTGTTTTTATTTTTATCGTTGTTTTATAATTTCACAAATAAAAATTTGTTTTTTAACAAGATTGAAAGTGAATTTTTATTTGTTCTACCAGATATTCTGAAATTGTGAATAGGTAGTACTGTACTACATATACAAATAGCAAACTTTATGGTGAATATTTTCTTCCCACGGATTATGTAGTCAAACCAGGATGTACTGCTAAGCTATTGAAACCTAACCTAATTGAAATTTCCTCTAATAAAAATTTTATTGAAACAACGATAAAAATAAAAACAACATTAAAAATTAATTGACGCTCCAGGGCGACTTCATTGATTCCAGTGGCGCATTCGCTTTTTCAGCTGCAGAAAAACCCGGAAAAACCTGCAGCACCACATCATCTGAAGATTTTGATCTACCAAAAGAAAACAAAATGTAGGGTGTCTCCAGAGGCTCCAATAGATTCAATGCATCGCCAGTACACTTCGTGACACGACTATCGTCAAACTTAAATCAGTCCGTTTCGTCTTTGACCATACTCAAAGTATTTGTCACAAAAAATTGCTGAACCTCGCAGGAAAGTGAAAAAATGGTAAGTACCTAGTATGATGTATGAAAGAAAAATTATTTACGCCTGTTTTGGATGAAAATAAAATATATTTTTTTAGGAATTGTCTGCCATATATTTAAAGTCCCGAATGTATCGCCACAGAAAATTGTTGAATTTAAAATTGAATGGAAAAAGTGCCACAGTAGGACAAAAAATGAAGAAACTTATTTTGTTCAGTAACTGTTAGATATAAGTTGAAGTAGTTATGTTTTGTAATATTAAATAGAAAATTTCTGATTTTGTTTTCATTTTATTCACCAATACAATGGAAAACGGTTGAACTTTCATTTGAACGTTGTACTATTTCTATTCTTACTTCCTTCCTGAGCAACTATTCAGAGCTAATATACGTTTTCGATAAAATAAACGTGAAAAATTTAAATACATTCAAAATGTTGCGCTAAAGTTCTATTTCTTTACCATTCAATTTTCACTCCCGACTCTTCACTTTCTCCTCCTCACTCTTTACTTTCCACTTTAACGCCTCACCACAGATTAAACAGCCTCACTTTTCGTCCAAGACGAGTCCGTTCCAGGTACGTATATGTAGTATACATTTCACTGAATCTAGATAGTTTCACCAATTTACAAACTGTTAATTCTGGACTAACTAGACAGTTCTCTAGAAGAATCAAAAACCCTTGGTGGAGAAAAAGAGTTGTAAGAATAATGAACAGTTTTTTCTGATTGAAGCATAGAAAAAAAACATATATTTCCTACGGATCTAGAGAGAAGCATATTGTTCCCATGCGACGGTAAAATAAAATCTTGGAAGTATATTAAGCGGTAAAACAAGATCAAAATCCTATTAGCTGTTCGGAAACATCGGTTTTCATATCTTTCAAAACTCATCAAAGTGTTACTCACAATACATAATCAGACAACTGAAACACAGCAAACCCAAAACAGTGAATAAAATCTATGTTCCATAAATTTAACCGATCAGCTGTTTATGGTTTACCATTTATTAAACACACTAGCGCCATCATCATTAAAATTTTTCACCATCTACTTCCGAATCAAAACATTCCGGCAAATTTTTACATATAATTCTAATTACTGATTACTAGTATTTTACTATCACAGAATATCAAGTTCTGGGTTAGTAAGTAATTACGCCTACTTGCTGCTATAATTGTTTTTAAAAAGAAATGGTAAGATATATCATGTACTGATTTTTCTTTTTCCCAATAAGAAAATATTTTCAGTTAGTGCTAGTTTTGGGCGATTTACATATACCACATAGGTGTAGCACCTTACCTGCTAAGTTTAAGAAACTTTTGGTACCAGGAAGAATACAACATATTTTATGTACTGGCAATTTATGTACAAAGGAGTCCTACGACTATCTGAAAACTTTAGCGAGTGATGTTCATGTAGTGAGGGGAGATTTTGATGATGTGGGTTGGTTGAAAAATGTTGATATTGAATAATAGATTTCTTTACAGAATCTTAATTACCCAGAACAAAAGGTAGTAACTGTAGGTCAGTTCAGGATAGGATTATCTCACGGGCATCAGGTAGTACCTTGGGGAGATCCCGAATCTTTAGCTCTGATCCAAAGGCAGTTAGATGTAGATATTTTGATATCTGGTCATACCCATAAATTTGAGGCATATGAACATGAAAATAAGTTTTATATCAACCCTGGATCTGCCACAGGCGCCTATAATGCCCTAGATCCGTAAGTACTTCAGCATTACCATAACTTGGGAAATTATTTGATTCATTTCAGGACAATTATTCCTTCATTTGTACTGATGGATATTCAGAACACGACAGTTGTAACATACGTATACCAACTAGTAGGTGAAGATGTAAAAGTTGAAAGAATCGAATACAAAAAAAACTAGGTTAGGTCAATTTGAAATTGTTTACATAAGAGCATTTACCTATCTATAAATATTTGTTTATTTGAATGGCCTGTAATGAGATTTCATTCCCTTGTATTAAGTTATATTTTGTCATTGATATACTATGAAGTATAATCAGTCTGCAGAACTTTCTGCAATGAAAAGTATTTGTTTACCAATATTAACTTTTCCCACTCAAATGTATGTTAATTTTCTCAACAGTAAGTTTTGTTGGATAATCATGTTTTTCAAAATTTGATTTTCAGTCGTGAGGTTTTTATAAATTATATATTAGATTTTTTTCACCCAAGTATGAGAATTTATCAATACTTAACACTTGGAATTTGAGTAGATAGATTTTATTGATCCTTTTTGCTACATAATGTGTAGATGCAAATATAAAAAACTAGGTTAGGTCAATTTGAAATTGTTTATATAAGCATTTACCTATCTATAAATATTTGTTTATTTTAATGGTCTGTAATGTAATTTCATTTCCTTGTATTAAGTTATATTTTGTCATTGATATACTATGAAGTATAATCAGTACTGCATAACTTTCTGCAATGAAAAGCATTTGTTTACCAATATTACTTTTCCCACTCAAGTGTATGGTAATTTTCTCAACAGTAAGTTTAATTTTTTTGTTGGATAATTATTAAGCTTTTCAAAATTCGTTTCTCAGTCATGAGGTTTTCATAAAATATAAATTTATTTGTTTTTCACCCAAGTATGAGAATTTACCAATAGTTAACACTTGGTATTTGAGGAGATAGATTTTATTGATCCTTTTTGCTACATAATGTGCAGATGAGACAAGTCATACTTGTAGTTAAATTATAAACATGCATACAGATAAACATACAAAAGGTATAAATAAACATACAAATAAATTCTAGGTCTAGTAATGTTGCTTTCACGGCCATAGATGTTTTTTTGGTTGTGCAGGAAGCAACTTGGCTACTGGAATACACTTCTTTATTTCTGTATACCTTTTTTCCACATTTTAAAAAAATAATAAGTTGATCAACATCTGGAGAAAAAAACTCATTATTCTTCACTTTCGAAGACAATGTATATATTAAGTTTCTTTGAGTTTTCAAAAAATTGTGGAACAATACAAGAGTCTCAATTTTTACCTTTTTCATCATTTTCTTTCATACCAAATAAAAAGACTAAAGAGAGAGAAAATGGGACATATAATGAAAATGTAATTATTTTTATCCTCAATTTTATTATTTGAATTTTGGTTTAGATTACTGTATAGAGGAACATGAGATAACTTCGTGTAAGCATAAAATATTGAGTTCACATTATTTCTTAATAATGTCTGTTTTCTATTTGTGATTTTTAAATATATCTGCCAAAAGAGTTTGCTCTTGCCTTTTCACACTTTTCATTTCCAGGATTTTATGAAATTCTGCAAGTTGACACTCTGGTAATAATTTTTTACACTGATCTACAAAATTTTTTTGAGGTTCAATTGGCGTCATAACAATTTTCAATATCATCTCTGCTTTTGTCATTCCTTTTGTAACGACTTTGGAATAGGCTGCCGGAGCTTGGCGGTTGATTTGAGATGAAATTGAAGGCAAATTGAGTAGAACAGTTTTCAGCATGTGAGTGTCCAGCAAAAGCTGTTCAGCTCCTTCTGTGTTGATAGGTTTACACTTATAAATATTTTGTATAAACTTAGGAATAAAACTGTTTGCAAATTTTATGCAAAACTGAGTAAAATATTTTCTGGAATGTGATAAGTTTTCTCGGATTATAGGAACAGTGGTTTTCAGATGTGTCGTTACAGCAGTTATATATGGACTTTGATCGCCAACGGTGTCTACATTTTGCCACTGGATCTAAAAAAGTTGAATATTTTTCATCTCTTGGAACAGAATTAGTAAAAACTCTTACCTTACTCATAGCTGTTAATGCAGGCTCACATGCATTTTCCAAATCTTGAACTAATATTTGAATACAGTTTGATATCACCCTGAAATTTTCAGTACATTATTTTAGTTAGAAGTTTGTATCCAAGTATAAAATAATGACATATACAAATAACATATTGAATACTTTTACGATATTGAAAATAACCTAATAATATGATGTGATATCACATTGATAAAAAAGAATTAGAGGTGTTGGATTCATTATAAGAAATTGTTAACAGTTCAAAATGAATTCTTAACAAAGATGTTTTTTTTTTAGATACAACCTGGAAGAAAAAGCTCTCCCCTAAAAAACATCTCCCTTCTCAGTTTATATGACAATATTATCTCATGTAACAAAATTTATATCTTTTAGCATGAGTAAAATATAGCATCACAGCATTATTTAGAACTGATATTGGGTTTTCTTACGTCACATATTCTGACTACTTCTCACTTCCACTCACTGTGCTAAGTATTGATGTATAAGTTTGATAAGGGTTCATTGCTCATTTTTATGCCCTCGATTTGTCCAGCATAAAGGCACCAATAAACGTACAAGTGAGTTTTAGATAAAAATATGAGTTCTGTATAGAATATACTTGATTGGATTAACCAGCATTCAAATATTCAATTGCCAATCTTTTTCATTTGAAAATTTATAATTGAAATTAACTTTTCATAGCTGTTTGTGCAGGAATAATGTACATACTTATGGAAATTGTCCTGTTCTTTTGATAAATCAATCTGGTCAACCAGTGAAGGTTCTACTTTTTCTTTGAGTTTATCAGCAAGTTGCTGAGTAGTTTCCAAGCAGTACTCTGCTGTGGTTAAAATACAGCAAATTTTGGTTTGTTCATCCTTGGTAAATCTGAAATCAAAATAAAATAAAATTTCCACAAGGTAATGAGTGTGGAAGCTGTTTACCTGGTTGATTCTCCCTCTTTCAGAAGAGATGAGAAATTTTGTATAAGACCTGATGTTGAAATTTTTTGAAGATCTTTAGTAAAATTCTGTACAGAAGTTCCAAGTGTTTGAGTTTCAAATTTTGGGAGATTATTTTGTAATAGTTTTTCTGCATACTCATGCAAATATTTTTGGAATGTTTTGGTTAAACTCAGCATAGTCTGACCCCTGTCTAGCTGATTACATTGGATCATACTCTTTTTATAGAAGACGAACAAGTCTGGACAACTTGGCAAAATAGCAGCTTGTGTTTCAGTTGCCTCAGTAGGTTTGCTCTGTTTCTGATCCAAAATGAATCTTTCTATAAGGTCAGAAAGATTTCGATCAACACTCTCGATATATATTTCAAGATGTGGAATGAAGCATTTACCTTGAATGTAGACATTACAAATCAATTGTTTTCCAAATTAGTATATAATTACCTATTAATCCATGAAAAGGTGATATATTCATGTCTCCGTCTTTCTCTTCAGATTTTGCAGCATCAACAAATTCATTAATTTTAATGTTATCGCACCTTTTTTGTAATTTGTCACAAAATTCATTTATTGTTACCCCTGTAAACCTCCTCGATAAAAGATTTTCGAAAGCACTTGTTTTCTGAATTGCATAGAGTAGTAACTTCACATCTATTTCATTTTTCCTTTTAGCCATTATTTTTGAAAGTTCTTCTCTGGTATTATTGCAAAATTCTATTGCTATTCTTTCAGACACTTCCCAATTCTGGGGGAACATGTTACCTAGAGAGAAAACAGATTATTCAGTGCAGAAGCCCCACCTTCCAACTTCTGAAGGAGACTAAAAATCAAAGGCATCATTTAGAACTTTCTGATGAAAAAAGCCAAAAAGTGTGTCATCACTCATTATCAACTTCTTTGGTAGGTTTTTTCAATTACCTATCGACTAGTTTATTTTTGAAACTTGGATCAGCCATTCCTGAGTGATTAGCAGTTTTATATTTTTTCAGGAATCTACCAATAAACTATAAAACTGATGTCAATAAAAAACGTATTCACAGTTCACTACAATCAAGATCACTTTTTCAAATAAAACAGTAAATAGGCACAATGTACTTACCTCAAGAAGGGCATACACAATAACCATAAAAGGTAAATGTTCAATCAGACATTCTGGGTAACTACATTAGGACATATATTTTGGAAAAAAATTAACTAAACCTCAGTATCTGGATATGTTGCTGATGGTTAATGAAACACTAAGTGAATGATGAACATTCTGGGCATTAATTGGAATACGTTTTTAGTAATATTTCAATTGAATTTATATTCATCATTTATTTGCACACTCTTGAAAAGAATATAAAACTGCTAATTACTCAGAAATGGCAAGTTATATTTAGAAAAATAAACCAGTGGTGGATCTTGATATCTTATAGCATTCAAATTATAAAAGGGGGCTTTTTACGTCAGCACTGCCTAATATACCTAAGCGATCCTCAAATTCCAACAAATGTCTTTTAATCCAAGCATAACGTTTGTCTATTTTATCTAACCATGCGGTATCTTCTGTTTCTTGAAATAAGTGGTTGTATTCCTGCAACTGCAGATTAACAAACCATTTCAATAAATCTTGTTTCACTTTAGGATCCAAAATAGATACTACTAGGCAGGCTTGGGCCAATTGCTTATTCGGAATCGAACTTTTCGTGTTTGAACCTACAAAACTAGATTGTAACGACATGTTCTCTGATCCAATTGAAATTAACTAAACCTGTGAATGATTCTTTGAAATCATGAGTTATCTGCTGAGCAAGCTCCACATGTATTGACTTCACTTGGTCACTTAAACTTTTCACTTGAGGAATATCTGAATAGTTCTCGAAATGAGTCATTACTTCGCTTATTGCTTGAAGTGGAAGAGCGATTTCTCCGTACAATCGTCTTTGAGTTAGGGATTTTAAAGTATCTACTCCCCCCACCAACATGTGCAGATGATTAAGAGTTGTTATAGCAAGTGTTAAGTTTCTTTTTGCACAGTCTAGTTGTTTTATGTCCCTGGTGATCTCTCGAACCATTTCTTCAGATTTTTCAGCCCTTTCTTTGATGTCAGTAATATGCGTGAACAGTTGTTTTATAACTTTTTGAGCTTCATCTAGGGCTTGCCTTCCATCTTCACTGGCTGCTATTTGGCCACGCACAACACTACTTATTTCATTGTCAATGGAACTTATTTTATTTTCCATTTTCAGTACTACTTCATCTATGTTTGATAAAGATTGTTCTGTGGGAAACAGGGAATTTATGTAATCAATACTGTTGAAATCGGGTTCATCCAGAGGATCTTTACTTGGTAAAACCTGAAATCATAGCTTTAAATATGAATATAGAGCCTGGTTAAATATTTTACTTCTTCTATAGCCTTTTGGACGACCAGAGGGAAATTTATAAATAAATCTTGATTATCTTCATCAATTCCATCATCAATCAGTGAATTCTCCATTATTGAAAGAAAAAAGCCCAAATTTGAAATTTACGTCTGTGCCTCTATTTTGTTGTCGATTTTATAGAAGTGTATATGAGTCCAACGCATACGGTCCAACCATTAAACATTTCTGAAATATGAAACTGAACCGGAATGTTAGTCACATACATATATCACAAATCAAAATAAGGTCATGTTCCGTATATCATTGCTATTAACCAGACCGACAACTGCTTGGTCCTATTTGCGGTTGACGTGACGCCATACGATACATATAGACGAGAGACGAGTAAGTTTATTCTGGCATATCCAATGTGCATTCAGCTGAAAATTCACTCATTGCCCCATTCGAAATATATTTGATAATCATTGGTTCAATATACATACACATTAAACATCGCTGAATGAAACTCTCTTGTGAATGTTTATAATTTTGCCAAATTTCCTCAGAAACTGAGGAAAGTAAATTGAATGCATCCACTATCTCCACATACATGCATTTACAGACCATGGCCTCCTCTCAATTAATACACATGAGTGTAACTGATCACTGTTTATCAGTTTTTATGTGCGATTGCGCGCGCTAATTTCGGCAGTTGCATCGCCAAAAGTATATGCAGGAATTACTTCGGTGAAGAATCCTGCACTGACACCTGTCGGATATAATCCAACGCCCTTCGTGGTATTAGTCAAGGGAGCAGTTGTTTTCTGATAGGTGTCAGTCCATAAACCTACTGTGTAGTTATGGGAAGACTTACCTGAACAAATTGTTCCTTTAGATAACCTTTTTGGGTGCGGTTTAAACTAATGTGTTCTATTGTTGCTTCATTTATTTATTTTTTCTTTTATTCAAATCGTTCATGAATAACTTAACTTAATTTAAACTTTACAAAAATACATAAGCTGTCTAACCAAAAATCTGTTTGAAATATACAGTGAGGTTCTAAAGTAACGGATAAATTCTACGTAATTATAAATGCAAATGAAAACTCATGTAACAGATCAATTTTTATATATGAGAATACACTTTCTCAATAAAATTATTCAACTGCCCCTCGAGTCAAATACCTGTTACGATTGACTAGTCTATTAGATATCCTGTTGTTAAAAAAAGTAATATCGGATCTTTTTGTTTCTCAAAAACATCTTTTTTCTCCAATAAGGCAACGTTTACTCTATATGGAACGGTCAACAAGCAAAATTGTTGGTTGGAGTACGTAAAATCCGCATTGGATAGTATCCTATCAAAGTGAACGTTTGGGCTAACATACTATTTAACAGAATAATTGTACCAATTAAGATTAACCCCGCAGAGATTAACAGAATCATATGGTTTCAGCAAGATAGAGCAACACCACATCATTCAACACCACTTTATTCAGCAGCAGTACGGGCATATCTCGATCTAGTTTTTCCGCATCGATGGATCAGTAGACGTGGCCACCACGTTCTTGCGATCTGACTCCACTGGAATATATTTCTTGGGGATATTTGTAATCAAAAACCTACAAGAAGGAACCAAACAATATTGATGATTTAAATCACCGCATAAGGCAAAAAATTATTCAAATCATCGCAGAAATGTTGCAAAACGTTGAAGAATTTCAACTCAGTCTATTTTTTTGTCAAGACATGAACGGTACTCATTTTGAACATACGATTTGGACTATAATTATTGTAAATATTGATAACGTCAAACTTTATTTAGTTCTATGACATTAATTATTGTACAAATTGAACAATTGAATATCAATGTTTTTTGTTAGCAACGTCCGAAAATCAAAAAGTGCTGTATTACTGAACAGAAAATTGAAAACCCGTTTAAACGCTCTATCACAGGCATTTCCCTTTTATCTAAAACTTATTTACAGGGGTGGTTATTACCTTAGTAATAAATAAATAAATTTATCCGTACTGCTTCCACGTAGCCCCGCTGGTTACATGAGTGAAAGAATCACTTGTGGTTCTGTTATTCCCTAACTGAATGGCATCCCAACTATGGCTTAATCCTAAGGTGTGTGTATCCGTGCCGAGAGGATGAATGACACTGAGCATATCAGCTGTCTCTACGGAACCTTCGAGATACCGGGCGCCTTCTCGTCATAGCATCGCCTTGTCACGGTAATCCGGGGCTGTGCCGTGGTTTACCTTCTTTCCCTACCTACTCGTGGGACTTTTATGGACAAAGTAAACTTGAAAATTCTTTCTGACGCTTTGTCTATAGAGGAGATGGATGTCGAGCTTACGACTCCAACTGACCTCCCTGTAAATTTAGATCAGGAGCGAGTCTAAGAGGAGATGGACGTCGAGTTCACGACTCTAACTGACCTCCCTGTAAATTTAATTAAGGAGCGAGTATACAGTGGAAATGGATGTCGAGTTTACGACTCCAAGTGACCTCCCTGTAAATTTAGTTCAGGAGCGAGAGCTTCTCAACTCTCCAACTCCTGATCCAATAACTGAACCTAAAAAAAAAGGTTTGGTGGTGCAGCCAGGAAACGACCGAGTCGTCTCCTCTAAAGCGGGGTACCTTATAAAACCGCCTTGCACCAAATTATTGAGCGGCGTACGCATAATCTGTCTCAGGTGGAGGAACAAACCCCCCATGAGCAGGTTAGCAAACGTTTGCGCTCAAGTGATGATTCACCAAAACCAGAGGCAAAAAAGCTCTGCACCGTTGAATCTAAGGCATCGTCAGGTGTAGCTGACGTGCAAAAACCCTCATATGGGAAGGTTGTCGCGGGTATCAAGGTGGGTACCTTGCACCTTGACTATCCGACTACCTCATTAACGATGAAACAGCAGAGCATATACTTTGTGCCTGCTCCGATGGGGACCGAATCAGATTTTTAGAGTTCGGCAGAGCCGTATTTTTACCACCTGACCTGAAAGACCACTCACCATACAAACTAATCGGCTTCATCAAGAAGCTGGGTTTAGAAAGCACACGTTAAAAGGTAAGACCTCGTTAGTCCTTAGCTCTCACAAGTTTCTCAACTTCTGAGAGTTGTCGTTCGTATGGGGGCGGCAGCTGATTAACGGAAAAACAGATTTTAAACAGACAGATTTTAAACAGATTTGGTCAAGTGTGAATAGGTGGGAGCCACAATAAACCCTTGTGGGTTGCGGTGGAGAGTCGAATAGACCCAGTCACTTTGGATCTAACCGTACCTAACCTATACATATACAAAGATTGCACCATTGTGCAGGATATAAGGTTTCCCAATTTCCGTTTTTGATCTACTTGAATGTACTTTGAAATATTCTCGTGCGGTAATTATGAATGGAATTAATTTGAGTGAATTTGAAACTACTGTATTTTTCATTTATACTGGGTCAGGTGAATGAAAGGACAAATTGCCGTTTTATAAAGTGAAGCCAAATTAAATTACCTTTTCGGTTTATATACTGTAATGAATCTGAAGCCGGCCCTGACCGATGTCCTAGTCAGCAAACGCATGTCTGATCGCGAACCAGCGGGAAAGGTGTGGATGGGTCCCGAATTCCGCAGAGAAATCAGGAACGTTCGTTGACGATATAAAAAGGTCGCTCTCCGTCCCGAGGAGTAGTCTGTACTTAGAAAGTAGGTGGTGTTTTAGCAGACTGTATATAATAAGGTTACTGATATATTAGAAATAATTTCACTGTATTGTACTTTTTCATGACCTACCTTGGTGAGTTGAGCATATAGATGCGCCGGCAGATTTTTAGACACTGGTTGGTAGAGAGGCGATAAGTTCCTCGTTTCGTGGTACCACACACGCACGCCCGATACTCGAAGGTACTCGTGTCAATATAAATACATACAGTGTGATACAAAATAAATGAGTTTAAATGAGAATGGAACAGAAAGCGAATCGTGCGTTTAAGGAAAGGAATCCAATTGTGAAGATAAATTAAGCGTTAGTTACTAAGTGTTGTATATAAATTAGTTGTGATAGTGAAATATTGTTAAAAATAAATTTGATTAAGACAGTTAATTCTTTAATTCGTTACAATACATTTTTCCTTGCTGCTGAGTGTAGAAATTCATAAATACATTAGATATATTATGCACTAAAAGGTTAGGTTGTTCCAGTGAGGTGCGTTTTCATCACTTTGTCTACCTATTTCAGATGCATAAATTAATGATCATGTTTAAAGATTCATTGACAGTACAGTAAATACATAGTGTTTTTAATACAGGGAACAAAATTGTTGGAATGATGAAGTCGGTGACATGAGAAGATTGAAAAAAAAATGCAATGGGGAAACAGATAAGTCAGACGTTTCCAAGTAGCAAAATAGTCAACGAGAAAAAGAACTCTATCTAGCCGTACAAATGCAGACTGCCGTCGTTCTTTGCCCATTACATTATTACTAGAGTCAGTGATCGGTGCAAGAGCACCGAAGCTATTGGAGAAAATCTCCACCTTATAAAAAAAAAAAATTAGAAATTTTATATTTATTTGAAATAACAGATCAGAATTACATCTCTTACGAAACTGTTCCCTAGTTTAATGTTGTATTTCGCCAAGTAATACATGATATCTGCAACCTTTTTACCATCTTTTGATTTTCCAGAACCACTTTTCTCCGTAAATTTTTCCTTCTTTTTCTTGTTGTCCCTTTCCGTTAATTCCTTTTTTCTCTTCAGTAATGCTTCGGGAGTACCGAAACAAAATTTTACGACTTTTTCGGAATTTCCTGGTAGTTGTACTTGATTGTTTTCAATATTCAAAATATCAAAGAACGATTCTCCTGATTATGAAAGTTTTGTAACGAAGTCGTTAGAAACAGAACGAGAGAAAATTGATTATTTACCTTACCTTTTCTAGTTTTGAAACGGTCTTTAATCGAGGTTTCTTCCATGATAGTCAATTTGTCAAAACATTTCGGAAGTGGAAGTGATTTTTTTGTCCTTTCATCTGGTATCTTGGTCTTTTCAGGTGTTTTCGATTTCTGTTTAGTATTAGATTTTTGAGTAAGGGTTGAAGATTTATCATCTCTTCCAATTGACTCTGTAATCATGGTACCCTCAAGTTCCAATACTTTTTCAAAGTGTATTGTTACAACAGCACAGCATTTATTCAAAATCTGAAACAGATATCAGAGATAAAATCTTTCCATATTCGAGTGGACGCATATTACTTCCAAATCACATTCTGCTACCTTATTACTTTTCGTGTCCAGTCTGTAAACCAGAACATTTGGTTTGAATTCTAAATCAGGTAATATGCCGGTCCCCTCAAGAATTAACGGCAATATAGTTTCACCTGAAGAAATTTCAAAATATTCTTCGACCTGTAAATGGATGCAAGGTTTATTTTACGATAAGTGTTACATTTAATTATAGGAGATGTTTCTGGTAGAAAATTACCCGAATTTATTGTTTATGATTTTTCCAACTAAGAAAGGAAATATAAATATAAGTAGTAACATATTCATTCATTTAGGAGCAGTTCAGTGAGAGTTCAATTTAAATGTTGCCAAAACGTATATAGTATATAATATTACGTATATATACGATATATAGTATTATGAGAAAAATCAATAGAAAAACCAAGATGTTTCTGACTCCGGTTAGTTTTGGTTTTGAAATTGCTTTTGGTTTTAACAGTTTTTTTAATGAAAATACTTTGAATGACAAGACGTGATTTTTATGTTTGACAAGTATTCAAATTCTGTTTATTTTTGCCAAGTAGTCAGAAAATCTCTAATAAGTTAATAGTACATGAGCAAAATGAATAAAACAAACATTTCAAATAAATAATCCGTAGGAACACTCCTTTCTGATGAAGAGCTCCTGTTCTTCAGCTAATAAATTATAATCCGTAAGAATACTTCTTCCTGGTGAAGAACTCCTGTTCTTCAACTATGTGGTTCGTCAAAGAGGGCAAATGTATCAAATTTACCTCCAGGACCGATTGATTATTAACTCAACAGGGGCAATCCTTAACAGTTTTTTAGTCTTCTGGGAATGGTTGACATGATGATTAACTTGCTCTTCCACCTCAACTGAATTATCTTCCACTACTTTATGCAAAAGTGGGTTATGTTTGAAAACACAACCATCGATTTTACATTTTTTCTTACTTCGGCAAAATTTTGTGAGATGTGACGATCCAAAACAAGTAAAACACACTTTATTTTCTCTTCCACTCACAACGTTTTTCAATATCAAGTTTCTTGAAAAATTTTCATGTTTCAATTTTATTTCTATCTTTTTTGCAATATTTACATTTGTAAACTATTTTTTCTTGTTGACTCGTATTAAAAACGTACTTCTTCTATCTGTCCTGTTCCTGTTCTGGTCCAACAACGCATCTAACTGCTTCACTAGTTTCACTTTCATATGGAAATTTCTGTGATGGTAACTGAATTCTTACATTTTTTCAATTGTAAAACTTTTCTAACCCATTCCATACGTAAATTGGGGCTAAGTTTTTTAACAATGTCATTTAAGAGTTGTGGATTAGACAAGTAATCGTAGCAGTCCAAACTCTAATGAATTAATAGTACATGAGCAAAATAAATAAAACAAACATTTCAGATAAATAATCCGTAGGAACAAACATGAATAATGAGAAAGGTAGATACACTATAAAAAAGCTACTGTGATAGCAAAACATGTGATATATTTTTGAAAATAAAGTTTGTCAAGATCAAATCGTATGATGTAGTTTATGAAATTACTATGGACCTTCATCAAGTAACGGCCGAATCAATCAGAAAAAAAAGTAGATAGAAGATTTGTTTGGTGTCCCAAAAAATCAGTACCATTTTTAAGAAATTGATGGGACTTGACCGAGGCCTTGATCTGCCTACTCCCTCGTGACGAGTTCACTCTGAGGTCTCAATCTGTCTCCTCTTTAGAAGTGTTCATTGCTTGCTAGTGTTTTTTGTGTTCTCGAAATTGATGTTGTGTCCTGTCGCCAATAAGTGTTGGAAGAGAGAAGACATAGTGACTTTTCTCTTCACTGCTAATTTGTGTTCATCTTTGCGTATGTTGATTCGCCTGTTGGTCTGGCCGATGTAAGTCTCGTCGCAGTCTTGACATGGCACTTCGTAAACTCCTTGAGACTCCAGTGGTATCCAGTGATCCCGAGTTATCGGAGATTAACTCAGGATGTATATACCTCTGAAGAATCTAGCTACTCGCGGCAGCGAAACGTCAGGAAAAAATTCCAAAAATCGACCGCCTTCAAACCCGAAAAATAGTGACACTGAAAACCTCGGCCGCGAAAGCCTTAACCATTTTGTTAATTAACCTATTAGTGGTGAATTGGCGCAGTGGTAGTGCGCCCTATTCACGACAGGAAGGTCGTGAGTTCGATCCCAACCTCGACCAGATATTTTTTCGAGAGAATTTATCTAGTTGAAGTTGGGATGATTCTGCAACGTTATATGGTTGACGGACTCAATAGTCATGATGCTCCCTAGGTGGCTCGGGAATTATTGACATTGCCTACCCAGGACACGAGGCTAATGACCAATGTAGTCGATGCCGATGACAGCAAGAAAAAAAATTGACTTATTATCGATAATTCTGTGACTTCCTTCAAGCAGAGTGTACGTCACTGTCATAAAATTCAGATTGACATTTACTCTTTTTTATTTCCATTGTAATATTTAAAAATGACCGAAAAATCTTTTAAAACACGCGCTCCTTTTGGAACTGCTACAAAACGTTTCAACAAGCTTGGTTTTCATCCCGAATTAGATGCGTCTGGGGCTATGAAGAAACAAATTACGAAAGTAGGACCTGGTAGTTATGATCCACAGTATCCCCATTGCAAATCAAAGAAAGGAATTTGGTGAATATCAGATTTTCCTCATTTGAAAGGCAGAGGCATTCATGAAAATCCGCGTTTTTGTTTTAGCTGGAAAACGAAATTAGAAACTGAGCTAGTTTCAAAGTTTTTGGATTATAGAAATGCAAAAATTCTTTATGAGCGAGAGCTTGATAAAACTTTAAGAGGGCCCGGCTCAAATGATGTCAATGAAAATTTGTACAAAAGGCAAGATTCCTCTGTACTGGCAAATATAGGTTTCGGAACTGGAGAAAGATTCAAGGACAGCGATATCGACCATATCCCAGCACCTAGTGAAAATAATAAAGCGATGGCGTTCTTTTTCTTTATGTTTTTAATTTTCAGATACCTATTTTCGAAAGATACAAAATACATCAACAGTTCTTCACAAGAATTTTTCCAATCTTCCAACATTTGAAAGGGATGGATTTTCTGATAGATTCAAATCCAACGCACCAAAATATACTTTGGCACCGAATTGGTATCATCCCCAAGATGGTAAAGGTATGAAAATGTTCATTCGAATTTACAAAATAAAATATTTTTTGAGAGAGATTAGCTTTTGGGAAGAAATCTACTTGGGTTTTTACTTCTCCATCATTATACAAAAAATATGGCAAACTCCTGAATGAAAGAAGATTTTGCACAGAAATTTTTCTAGATACAAACTGGAAGAGAAATTGTCTTCATCTTCTCATCAACATGTTTCAGGATAACTTTGAGAGATGAAAATACCCATTTCTTGCATAAAGAGATACTTATGAACTTATTACAATGATGATTCTTAAAATCATCCATACGGTCAGTTAATTCGATTCCAGTACTAGAAATTTTGTTAATAGTGTGTACGAAGTCAATTCAAATGGCATAAAAACTGAATAGTTACCGAACGTCGGCAGTTTCTTTATATGGCATAAGCGGCGTGGAAATTCACACGAGGCCTAATCATTATTTTTATGTGGGAGGTTTCTTATGGTATTAACTAGTAAGTTTATCAGATCCGGTACATTACTCTTTTATTTAGCTGTTCGGATTGACTTCGTATAGACTATAAATTGTAATGGGAATATTCGAGTTTCATCTTGGATTAGAAAATTGTTTTTTATTTTTATATTTCGTTTTGAATCGCAGGGATTGATGCAAAATCACAGAGAGTTGTTTCACTGAGGGGTCCATATGATTTATTTACTGGTCCCAGGGATGAATCTACGATAAAAAATCACTTTGGTGTGTCAAATACAAAAGTTCCAGATTACTTTTTCGTCGAAAAAAGTACTGTTGACGTGCTTTTACACCACCCATCCAAATCAAAGTAAAATTCATGATTGTGAACGCCTACCGGGTGACAATAAATGTATGTTACGTTTTAGAACTGGAAAATTCCAGCAAGGCGCCCGATTCACCAAAAAACCTACAGTAAGACACATGCTAAATGATCTCAGCTTATGCTACAGGAATCCAAGAGATCCAGGGCCGGCTCATTATGATCTTTCAGCTCTGACCAGGTATTGTTAAAAACTCATAATGAATATTACTGGAGTTTTTTCCCAACACCAAATCGTTATTTTTACACCTCGACACGTGTTTCGATCACCAAGTGATCATCTTCAAGAGGAAGATAAAACTCTTCTCCTCTTGAAGATTCTCTTGAATTCTATCCCGAATTTTATATCTATAGCATGCGTGTACTCTTCCACCAGCCTCAAGGACTGTTATACAATCGAATATTTCGGAGCGCAACTTTTAATTAAGATAGTGATATGCAAAAAAAAGGAGACTAAGGAAGTCATCCTGAAATACACCCCTTCTGAAATTGACCCGCTCTGTTTGGACCATATGTTATGGTGTAGCGAGTCCGCCAGAGTGGAATATTTTGTCTGATACCGCAAGGCATCTGAGCTAATGTAAGATGATATCATACGATGTTGTAGCAAATGCCTTGTATACTCGATCCAAGCCATAAAGAGGTTAACGCTTAAACTTCTCTCTTCGACCCTCTCTGCTGATATCTGTTCGAATACTCGGTCAACTGAATCACGAACTTAAGTATGTTATCGGTCTGGCAAATCTTTATTTCTGGGGATAAGAACGGTCCCCCTCTTTACAGACTAATCCGGAATCGGGTGCTCTCCGTCCGGTGATGAGCTGAAAACTCTGCCCAGATGGCAGGAATTGACAAATCTTCGCTTCTGGGAAGATAAGTACGATCGCCCCCCCCCCCCTATACAGATCAATTCAGAATCGGCTACTCTCCATCCAGTTATGAGCTGAAAACTCTGCCTAGATGGTGGTAGGTGCTTGATAGTTTTTTCCACCAATAAGTGTTCAGTCCATCTAGGTGTGGAGCAGCAGAGACTTGGAACCGCTCTGCTGAAAGCAGAGTACTAGGGCTTAACCAGTTGTCTAAGTTGAGTGGCTGCGGGTGTTTTTCCAGAAGAATTATCCACAAAACACGGAGGCTCTTGGAATAAGTGATAAGGTTTCTCGCGGAACTGAAGGTTTTCCGCGGGACTCACTAGTGACTTTTTAGCGGTCACTAGCATTCGTATCCTATGAAGGCAGTGCTGCTTGGTGGTCAGCAGCACACCTTGACTCAAAATGCGGTGGATTCGTCGTAATTTGGCAGATATCAGCTACACTATGGGCTGGAAAGGCCTGTTTGCCTCCCTGTAAACCATCACACATTGGACGCGTGTTGTCTCGCCAACTTGATCTTAGCCTCTATCTTATGTATCAGCTGAATATATCAAAGGAACAAATTATTTCCTAGAGGGATCTTTGAGATTGAACGATGCAATTCATTTCAATTTATATATCTGCTAATATTACCAAATATTTTCTACTTGATTTTTTGCAGTATTCAGCGAAAACGAGAAAATATGTATGCCTTCAACACATCGAAAGAAAGTGCCCGACCACCTCCAAATTGGACAATTTCACCTGGGCCTGGTAGATATACGCCAAAGGCCCCAAGATGCATGAAACTCAAAAGACCTTCTTGGGTGTTTTTGTCAAAAATTCAAAGGCGAATTTACGACCTTGTTGAGTATAATATTTATTAAAATGTTGAAACAGTGTGTGTATATTCATTCAAAATGCAATTGAGTGTAAATAATTTTATTCACTGGTTCGATTGTACCACTAAATTAGATGTTTTAGGAGGAATTCTGTGAAACACAATTTTTGTTGGGAACTCAAATTTTCTTACTGTCTTAATGGGTTCATAACGTTCCACAATCTGAAAAATGAATGATTCTGAATGAATGAAGAGTGCTGAAGTGTATCAAAGGGAAGGTAGAACTGGAACCTCTGGCGTAGAATAAATCCAAAACTAGCACTGCTCGCAAACATCAGTGTTACAGTTCTTGTTTCTGCGGAAGTTTAATTTGATACTTTTGTTATTGTTAATCTTGTTCATTTAATTTTATGATAGGTTTGTGTCAATTTTCCTGTTTAATCCTGTATAAAAGACAATTGAGAGGTAGATTTGTGAATAAAAAGTTGTTGTTGACGGTACGAAAAAATTATATTCTCATTTCTTCATATTGTAATGAATCTGAAGCCGGCCCTGACCGTTATCTCAGACACCAAACATATGACTCACCGCGAAAGGAATGCAATCGACGAATCACTGACTAGAGAGGTGACAGATTAGACAATATTTTAGACTTTTCCAATAAAATTCAAAATCTGGCAGTTACTGTGCAAAGTTTAAACCGCGATGAATATTTATTGAATCCAAACCTTTTCAACGAAGCAGTGAACAAATTGAGCACAAATTTAAAAATAGAATGGGGAAAACAAAAAGTGAATTTGAAACGTGGAATTGAAACGTCTGTCACAATTGTAGAATTTTCTCTTTGAATCGAAGAAATAAGTAAGACCATAATGTACGTTGTTCCTGAAAGAGAACTGGATAAAAAGAAGAGATATGTCTGTACTACATCCATTCAACCAGATGAACCAACATTCAGATGTAAATTCTGCTAGAAAGACGGACATAAAGTAGAAAAGTGCCACAACTTCAAAAAATTAGAAGTTGAGAAGCGTTGGGACTGGGTGAAAGAAAATAAAGTATGTTTTAGTTGTTTAGGATCATCACATCACACAAAACTTTGTCAAAGCAAGAAAACGTGATGTTAATGGCTGCCTTTACAAAAATCATCCTTTGTTACATAAAAAACCTGAAACAGTAGGTACTGGAGAACTCCGAAGAGCAAGTCTGCCATCATTCCGCCAGGATCAAGGAGTCTGAAGTTTTATTGAGAATAGCTCCTGTAGAATTAACTGGCCCCAAAGGTAAAATCAACACCTATGCTCTTTTTGATGAAGGTTCTACGGTGACCATGGTTGATGCTGTATTGGCTGAGAAATTAGGTGCTACTGGACCAACAGAAAGTTTGAAAATCAGTTGGACAAATTCTATGTCCTGTGAAGAACTCCACTCAAAGAAGATCAGTTTGAAGATAAGAGTAAAGAATGAAGATATTGAGTACGATTTAAATAATGTTAGAAATATCCATAACTTATCTCTTCCTGTACATTCAATGAACTCTAAAAGTGTATCTAAGAAATGGAATCATCTTCAACAAGTAAATATTGAATCTATGCATTGTGTGAAACCACAAATTCTTATCGGACAGGACAACATTGATCTCATCATAGAAGTCCATGAAGGAGAAAAAAACAACCTATTTTATCAAGATCGAAGTTGGGATGGGTTGCGTATGGAAACAACACAAAACGGTATTTTGGACGAATATATCAAGAATTTTCCTTTTTTATAAATCATCGGTATGACGATTTGGATCAACTAGTTAAAATTTCAAAATTGAGAATTTGGTTGTAAATTTTGGAAGATACGACAAAAAGGATAGCTGCATACAGATGGGAAACTGGACTTTTATGGAAAAGCGACAAGGTAACTTTACCAAATAGTAAACCTACTGCCCTGTGCCGATTAAAATCCATAGAGAAAAAGATGAACAGAAACGAAGATTTTGGTCTTGAATACGAAAATAAAGCTGTGACTGCAGATATTCAGGAAATGTTCCATATCCATATCTATGGATAGGCATGCACAGAAATTTTTGTGGAGAGACAGACGGAGTCATGACAAAAATACGCAAGAATATGAGATGACGGCTATCATCTCCAACATCGGCTCAATATGTTATGAGAAGAAATGCTGAGGAATTTGAGGCAGAATTTCCACAAGCTGTAAAAGCCATTAGAGAACACCACTACGTCGATGACTACCTCGATAGTGTAGATACAATTGAAGAAGCAAAGAAAATATCATCGGATGTGATCGAAGTTCATAGTCGAGGAGGTTTTGTCATACGAAACTGGTCTAGTAATTCCGAAAATGTTTTGAAGTACATACCAGAAGAGCTTCGAAATTCCAGAAAAAAAATATCGACCTAGAAAAGGAGTTGCCTTTACCCACTGCGAGAATTTTAGGACTATTTTGGAACCAAAATCAAGATGTTTTTTCCTTTTTAATAAAGTGGGACTCCGAAGACCTCAAAATGTTACTTGCCATAAACGTAACAAAAAGGGAGGTACTGAAAAGAGTCGTGCCAGTCTTTGATCCTTTTGGTTTCCTTAATACTTTCACAATAGCTGCTCGAATTCATATTCAGGATATTTGAACTGATGATGATGAACTGAATGAAGAAATGATGAAAATATGGAGAATATGGGTTGGAAATATTGAAAAAATCTCAACTTTGTCCATTCCTCGTTGTTATATTTCCAATATTTTTGGAGCCGAAGAAATTCAGATTAATATTTCTGTGATGCAAGTGCCCAGGTACATGCAGCTGTTGTCTACCTTCGAATTCCCAGGCTTGAACTTCAGGCTACGGTTCTGGAAAGTGGACTGGCAGTTTGCATAAAAAAGTCACAATATAAAAATTGACTCATACTATTTTTGGACAGATTCAAAAACCATCATTGGATGGATCAAGGTCGATACCGTGATTTTCAAGCCAAGTGTAGCACAAGTTGTAGGAAAGTTTGAATAAAATGACTTGATCACAAGGAAACAATGGTCAAAATCCCAATTGCTTGCTGATCATTTCTGGCGCCGTTGGATCAAAGAATATTTGCCGGTATTAACCAGAAGAACAAAATGGTGCACATCACCGACACGAAAAATTAAGGTTGAAGACATGGTGATTATAGTCGACAGCCAACTCTTGAGAAACACTTAGCTCAAAGGTGTAATGACTGCAACATATCCAAGTTCAGATGGCAATGTACAAGTAGTCGATATAAAAACAAATATTGGTACATACAGAAGACCTGTTACCAAACTTTGTCTTCTAGATGTTGATTAACATGAAGAATAGTGATGAATAATATTTCATCACTGGGAGGGAGTGTTCCTGTGGAAGTTTAATTTAAAACGTATTTTATTGTTAATCTTGTTCATTTAATTTTATAGTGTGTTTGTGTCAATTTTTCTGTTTAACCCTATATAAAAGACAATTGGTAGATTTGTAAATAAAAGTGGTGGTTGACGGTACGAAAAAATTATCTTGTCATTTCTTCATATTAAACAAAACCAAAGTCTTGCCCAAGTCGAAAAGTTAAATCAAGTCAGATACAGTTCTGATGTTTGGGAGCGCTAAAATAAATCGACTCTCAAATTTTATTTGCTTCCATAGTAGAGTAAGAATGTTTCAGTACATTCTTATACAACCTGTCAAATGTAGGAAGAGCTTTCTAAATTTAGATACTGTCTCCCCCACCAGATGCGCGTTGATTTGAGCATATGCGTTGGTAAGAGCACTCACTTGCAGTATGTGATATTACATTTCTTGACAAGTGCTAGTTTACATCCTCTTTCAGCCTAATGCTTACTCTCACAGGAAACGCGTAGACTGTGAGAATGATCAAGTCTCTAGATTTGACAATCTGTACATACCTTTTCGTCAATCCTGGGCTCAAACTTGATGGGTAGCTTCAAATAATTCTCAGGAGGTAGATCCCAGTTCCTTAAATGGGGTACTCTGAATGGCCCAACGGGATTAAGAAGACTTATTTTTGGTTTGATGGCACTATCTAAAAAGTCATTTTATAATTTTCGTGTCTTAGAAAGTCCGCAATCAAGGTACATTTAATATTCTGTAGTATGATATATTCAGTGGAGACCATTCCCACAGCAGTAGTGCCAAAATTGATCCTTTGTTGTTTCAAATTGGTTATGAAATCGGGTCTGATTACTTTACAGAATACATCCAAGTAAATGGTTTCCTGCTTCCGTATCATGTTTGGACTGTCGTAATTGATATTACATACCAATTTCGACTTCAGTGTGTACGGTTCGAGGCTTCTCCAGTAAAACATTTCCGCAGGATAATAATCGAGATAACTGATTTCCAGTTCTTCATCAGTTATCGTAATTTCAGGAAGAACAGTTCGTTCTGAAGCAGAAAAAATATATTGTACAATACTTATTCATCTCACTTTTTTTATGGAGTAGGTACCTCAGGGGAATATTATAGGCCCGTACCTTTTTAACTGTTATATAAATACATTATTCACTTTCAAGTTTCGGAAGAATATATTCTTTTGTTTGTGATACTGGCAAAATGATATGATGATTTCGGAAAAGAATTTCATTTGGAGCTTTTTTTAAGTTGGTTATTATGTGGTTCGGAAAAATTCTTGCCTCCTGAGAGCTACCTTGGCGTACGCATCCTATACCGTTGGAGTTATATGCAGGTAATGTACCGTAAGATTGTTTATTTTAAAGAGTTCTAAATGAATGTCCGCGATAGCATATATCTATCTCTTATGTGGTAGCCACTATATGCAAAATACTGAGCCATAAATACAATTAAATTTGATATTTTTTCACAATGCATATTTTAGAATATCTGTAAAAATTGATACAATTGTCGTTTTAAGTATTCAATAAAGATAAACTTTGTCTCTTACACTAAGTAATTTCGACGAATCGTTTAAAAGTTATCACGATAAGATGCAACGCAGTAAACCATTACGCGTCGCTTCTACTGTGAGACGACGAGGGATGATGCGAGGGGGTAGAGGGGCGGTCTAAGCAATGAAGCGCCATCGCTGAGAACGCGACCTGAACGCGGGCAGACGCTTGAGGGCAGACGTCGTTGACGGTTGTCTTAGTTTTGCGAATTTCTTTATAGGTAACATAATTCGATTGTCGAAGCTATCCATTAGTTGGTGCAGTCGGCATATTTTTTCAGTTACTGAATTTTTATAGTGAAATTATAAATTACTAGCTGTTGCCTGCTCTTAAATCAACGTACAGCCGAAGCTACTAAACCTAGAATCTTGAAATATGCAGGTAGGTTCTTTGTATAGCGTAAATAAGCACCAAGTAAGGGAATCAGGAATTTCCATCATAAATAGGGGAAAAATAGGGGTTCAAAAATTGTATTGAATTTCGTCAGTTTTGGAATTCGAAACCTGATGTTTTGGATTAATAAAAAAATATTGTAACTATTTGTTCAAAACGGTCTGTCACGAACCTTAATGTGACATCCAAATTCGACGCGGGCGAAGCCGCGGGACACAACCAGTAGACAATATGAACAACAATTATATAGCAAATTACAGTAAACAACGGATTTAGATCTGAATTGATGGATCAACTACATATAACAACTGACACTAATAACAAATTTACATAGTAGTCACCACAACAGGTTTTGCAAACAAAATCCTTATCGATATGGACTATAAAATGAATACTTACAATGAAAACAACTTTCAAACAGAAAATAAAACTCAAAAATGGACCATGAAAACATCGTCTACTAATGACAGTTTACACAGATTACAGAAACACGCAGATTAGTAAACAGAAAAAAACATATGTGCTCCAAATGAAATCCTTAATGTAATATCGTCTATTGGTTAAACTGAAACATGTTAACAATAAATATTCAAAAACACCTTGTCTTCTTTTTACTAGTTATAAAAATTCACTGCCTATGTATACTCAAAATCAAAAGTGATTTCCAAAATAAGGGAACCGAGTTTAAGATGATATCTTAACACCTTGGTAAACATTAGTCGTTTTGCTGACATTGATGTAGGACGTTTGAGACCCTTATATCCACCTACATCATCAGCACTCCTACGATATTGTTCTCCACGACCATTGGAGACGATTTCTTTTGGAGTGTCCGTTTAAACGAGAAACGAACATCTATGGAAATGAGGAGGGAAAGCGTGCTGAATCCGAACCACTATTTTTGAATAGTTATTCTGATTGTCGGAGTTATTAATGACCTGTTGTCTTCTCTAGTATATACTAGCTTGTTTTAAAACGATAGAAATATTGGCTGGATAAAAAATGCAGGAAGTTGTCGTGGTTTGCTACGTCTTCTCAGGGCACACGACTCTCAGACCGAATAATTACCCCACATAGTGAGGAGGGATCATTGATTATTGATGTTGGTACGCCTCCTCGATGGGTCGGAGTTTCGGGTACATGGTCAGCAACCCCTTTACAGACAAAATAATAGATAAAGAAAAAACTTTTTCAATTTTTCAATAATCTTGTTGCTTTTGTAGGTGTTGCTACTTGTTCTTGTTGTTTGTCTCGAACATTTTTTGTTCGTATATAATATATGATTTATTAATTACTAGCGACCGGCCCCGGCTCCGTACAGGTGTAATGCTGATACTAAATATACATATAAACGCATGCGATCGCCGCTAAAATCATAAATTTCCATAGGGCGGAGCGCTGCCTTCGACGCGCTCTTTATAGGCACGCGCCGCCGGCTCCCCAGCCGGTGCCGCCGCAACCGCAACATTCCTGCATTTTAAATCTGTAATATCTTCAAAAATATTCATTTAAGTAACATGCTGTAAAAGATCATATTGATCTATTTTGAATGAACAATGTCTATATGGTATATGTCTAAGAGATAGACATATACCATCGTGGACTTTTTTGAAAAACTATTGTACCTACACTTTTAGATGTATAATATTGTAGTACATTTTTTGGTCTATCTCGTAGGGTTCAGCCAGCTTTGTAATGTAAGCGAAAAAAAATATGTTTATTCACGACATCCCTTTAGAAACCTCTAAAATTATCAGTATTTCTCTGCTATATTATGCATGTTATGTAAGTAAGTACCTACATATAAATTTTCCTCTTGAATCACTCTTTCTTAAAAAAACACATCAAAATCCGTTGCGCAGCGGAAAGCGACTTTGTTTTATACCATGGAAATATCAATAGTCGTTCACCTGTGCTTTTTAGGTCGATTCCCGTGTTTTGTTTCCCCAATCCTTTTTTCTTGTCATTTTTCTTATCTTTTCTCTGCTTGACAGATTTCTTGCTGCCTTTGACATTTTGTAATGCTTTACTTGACTTTTTCTTTAACTGTGAGCGACTCCTGGCGAGTTCAATTTCTCGTTTCTTCATTTCGTATATTTCAGAATATTTTATTGCCTTCGCAGTATCTTTTATTACATGATCTAAAGTGGAAGGTTTGGCAATCAAAATAATTTTTTTGGCCTAAGAGATCATTATGATCAATACATCTTTGTGAATAGTTCATTTGAACTTAATTGCTTTCTTCCTTCTTTTAAGTTTCCCACGATTTTTGTATAAAGATGGAGATGAAGTAAAAATCCAAAAAGTTTCTTTCCCAATAATTTACCTACTTCTAGCAAAAAAAATAATCAAAAATGTATTACCTCTCCTTTTTTTAAAATGCCACAACTGGGTTCGATCCTTATTTGTTCGTTATCTCCGGTGATTTTAAACCATGCTTCATAGTTTGGCAACAACAATTTCGAATTATTCTTCAAGAAATCGCATTCTAATATTATCTCATTTTCCAAAGCTCTAAGTTCTATCTCGGCAGTTGAGTATGAACCACAAGGTGTGTCTGGAAACTCTACGTGTTGGGAGGAGATTTCTAGAAGAGGTCGTATAATTTTTGCGTGTACTGTTACCTGACGTTTAGTTATAGTTTCTTCTGGTGAAACATTTTTTGGTGGAGATCTTACAAATTCATTACCTACAAACATATGAAACTTTACTGAAACATGTAAATGCTATGTTTGTAAACCAATATGAGGTAGTTAGCCATCATTCACAAGATATCTCTTATTTTTTTTTTTTTTAAAATTATAGCTTCAGAAATTTCGAAAGGTCTGTTTGCATAACGTCAGAACTTTTTCCATAAACTGAAAGAATATTCATGGAACCTGTGATAACGGATTTGTCTGCTTACATCGTTGAACATCAAATTGAACATCATCTAAAGGAATAATTCGTTCAGGCCAGCCTCAACTCCCTACGCTGTAGGTTAATGGACTGATATGTAATACCTAGCGAAAGCTATGTATGGTAATATAAATTCTAAATTCGGAAAGAGACAGATTTCTTCAATTCAGATTATTTTTAAACGCCGTAACTATCTCTCATAAAACGTTAAATTATGGCCAAGGGACCGAGAGTGTTAAGATAAACACTATTCATCGGCTTGAAAAGATGCCCAGTCAGAGATAATTATCACGTAACTCGATAAGGGCATATCAATTTCCCATGAATTGAAAGTTTTGAGAACTCATCGAAAGATGTTTTTAAGGACCTACGTCGTACGGGGGCAACGATGAAGAAATAACGGTTTGAGAAACGCGAGGGGCGAGAGACTCGTGATTTGATTTTGTTGGCTTTTTAAAAGGAGAAAAGACAGAGGGTTCTGGGAGCTCTTCGCTTAAGGTAGCGGCACAGCTTACTTGTGGTAGCGGTCTGGGAGTGGTGCGAAAGTCTTTGTTTCATGAAGTAGGTCTGCGTTAATTTTGAGGAGGTTCGAAAACTTGGGAGTTTGAAGGGTTCTCTTGACGGTCAATCAAGGGCGGTAAATTTTGTTTTGGGAGATGTTTTCCTGGGTGGAATCTAATTTTTTTATTCTTGAAAACAGGCAGTTAGCGTGATTTTGAGTAGTCTTTTATTCTGAAGCGAAAATCGAGCAGTATAATAGAAAGCAATGATCAACCTGAAGAAGTATTGAACCAGACAGTAAGGCGAAGAGTAGGCAGGTGTGAGATAAATAAGAAAAAATTCAGACATGATTCAGTAAGTTGATTTAAATATCTCTTTTAAGATATCGAAGTTGTGATCAATGAAGGATCTAATTGTTTTCTTGCGTTCATTACTACTTTTTATATTTCTTAGTTCAATGGAAACTTGATTGACAAGTTTCGGTCCAAGTAACAACAAGTAACAAACCTTTGGGTATATACGTTTTTACAAAAAGCAACACTAATTGTTTTCTCGAATTTGGCTTGGGTGTCGTGTATGTGTGTCAGATATGTGAGAGGCGAGTTCAACGTCCATAGTGCACAGAGATAGGTGTATAATTTTCTGATATTGAATAAATTATCTTCATTATATAAGCTATCAGTTGGATGTCATCTATATTTTTTCAATATTATTTTAAGCAATGTGTTTTGTATCACTTGAAGATTATGTAAGTGTGTTTTATTCAACCCATCCCAAACAATAATACAGTACCTTATAACTGATTCAGCTAATGCATCCTATGTCATCAGTAATAAATGTTTATTTAGTATGTTTCTGAGTTGGTAGAACAGCGTACATGTTGGTCAAGTATCATACCCAGATATTTTACTGTATCCGTTTTCTTTATACGTGGACAAGAACAAATTAAAGGAGTTTGGCAATTGGGAGTGTGTATGAAAATGTTTTCTCTAGTGGTTGATCTCTTATTGTTGATGAAAAGGTTAAGAATTTTGTTTTATCGACGTTTAGACTTAGAAGACTAAAATTCAGCCACGATAATATAATGTGCTTTTGCATAGATAGAGTCCCATGTGTTACCATAGAAACTCAATGCCGTATCATCGGCAAATGAAACAATATCACCATCGAACTCCTTCAGGTTGTAAATGCTGTTAATATATATTAGAAATAGAATTGAACCCATGACAGTGCCCTGGGGAATACCCATGGCGACTGGTTGTGTCTGGCTATAAGTGTCGTTTATTTCGACCCTTTGGGTTCGGTCTTATAAATAATCAGCTAGTAGTTCTAGAGGCTTACCCCTCACTCCCACATTTCCTAACCTCTGTAACAAAATTTCATGAGTGACAGTGTCGAAGGCTTTGGCCAAATCTAAGAACACCGCTAGACATTTTTTTTCTTCGTTAGCTTTATTCAGTATTTTATTCACCAAGTGAAAAACGGCGTTTTCGGTTGACATATTTTCTATGAAAAGTTGGTAATTATCGACCTATAGCGCTAGCCGTTGACACTGATGGCCTGGCCAAAGTCGTTCTCAAAAAAATATGGACCAATGACGCTGCCGGAAATCCTCAATTAACATGGACTTTTTTGGGATGCATTAGACGCTCTTGGATACGACAATTTTGTTTGTTCACGTACCCATTCCTCCAGAAATGGGTCTCATCGCTGAAGATGAATTTTCGATGAAAATTAGGGTCAGTTGCCAACTGCTCCAGAGCCCATTCAGCGAACACACGTCGTTGTTTATGGTCGTTTACCTTCAGTTCCTGGTTCAGTTGAATGTTGTATGGGTGCTGGCTCATGTCACAACGCAAAATCCGATAAGTTGTGTTCTGCGGAAGGCCGAGTTCTTGTGAGCGACGCAAAATCGACTGCCTCGGATTCTCCTGCACACTCTCACCATAGTAAAAATCAACCAGTAACTCCACTCCCACTACTTTCATTCATACATTCACAAGGTTCTCAGTTACCTCGAAACGAAGTGCGGAGACAATTTCCTTCTTTTACTATGAGCGTGCGCTCATATAAAACCGAAATTTAAGGATATTATAGAATATTTTGTGGTAAGTTACTTATAACCAACTACAATAACTTACAACAATAGTAACAACAGCGAATAAACTAAACATAATATCAATTTCCGACCGTTTTAATAACTAATCCGATGCCCGTACCGTCAAATCCTTCGATACTACAGCATTGAACGTGTTGGATGAGAATCTCCTCCTAAGAGTGGTTGAAGGTCACCGGCAACTCGTGGTAAGAGACCTTACTGGTTGTATTATTCTACTGTGCTCTCACAGACAGCGCAGCGGTGATGTTTTCGTCAACATACGGGTGTTGATCGATCGTTTACTGAACTAGTGGACTCAAATTTATCGATCACATTGCGAATAGTCCTCTCGGTAGGACAATTATGGCGACCGTAAAATGGGCGATGCATGCGGTACGTTGCCCGAACAGAACACCCATTTTTATAAAACAATTTTATTATTTGCACGTATTGTTGAATGCTTCATCCGGCCATGGTGATTTGGCAAAACAGACTGAATAAATGACAACTAATTTAACAGATGACCGTTATCAATTGTTCGGAAGTTCCTGTTGAAAGACGCGTTATATGTTTTTGGGTAGTTATTTCATTGATATATCTATGACTAATACTGGTATTATATAAAAAAACAGATTCTTCAGCACAAATATTGGTATCGAGTCCGCAATGAAGAATGGAAGTCCACATTTTGCTACAAAATAAATGAAAAAAACCTTATTGATATCGTACTTACAACCTTCTCCTTTATAATCACGCAACACATGAATTTGTCCATCATATGTTTTCTTTTGAGAAAAATACACAGATTTCACAGACTTCATGCAAATTTTTATATCTTGAAGTAAATTATTATTTCTTAGAGAATTTCTCATCTCTTGTATCATTAGATCGATTGACTTCCTCAGCTTTTTTCCGTTAAGGGACTGAAAAAGACGTTTTTTTTTTGTACCTGCGAAAGTAAAAGGTAAAATTCCAACCTGCTTTATCTGCCCTACGTTGCTAAGAGTTTCTAAAGTTAATTTTAAAACTTTTCGATGATCTTTCAGTTTTCCTTCGATGTAGCAATCTTTAATATCTTCAATATTTGGATGAAAGTATATTTTCAGTGTTTTTTTCTCTCCCGGGTCTAATTCACCAAATCCAAAGTTTGGTGAAATTGTTATACACTACAAAAAGTTTTCAGAACAAAAACATTTGGAATGAGTAGTTCTTTTACTTGTGGCAAATCGATGAATCCATAAATTTGAGGAGACGAAGTTTCATTTTCAATTATGATATCTGTGTACACGATTTCGTATATACTGCATTCTCCCAAATCCAATACTGCTCCATCAGGAAAATAATCACAATTTGCTTCTTCAGTTGGTATGATATTTGTGTTATTTTGATCAGATAATACGGCAAATATTGTAGCTTTGATTGGAGGTATAGCAGAATAGTTTCTGCTTAGTATACATATATGGACAGGCATTTCCAAAATTCCCGTGGATCCATCAAAGTAATGAATTCTTTCAGTAGTAATATGTTTCCTCAAAAATTACAAAATAATAGGTTGTTACCAATAATAATAATAATATAAACAGTAACACTTTTTATAAATACATTTACATTTTTGCTTTCTTCAATACAATATAATTCTTTTGAAATTTTGACAGAACTGTTTCAACATACTGTTGTAAATCATACCCGAAAGAAAATAACGCCGGCCGTCGCTGGTAGCCATACACTAGGCGTGACGTGGCTAAGAGCGCGCGAGAGCACGATGATTCCCCGCCAATCAAGAAGCAACGAGAATAATGCTACCGACTTCGACAGAAGTTCGGAGAAATTTCGACGACATTCGATTACGATATTTAAAGGCTAGCCACGAGGATATCGGGACAGTCAAGTACAGTCAAGTGGAAGCTACAGTGCGGTACGCGAAGTGATCTAGTGAGGCTATAGTCATTCAAATAATAGTTGAAGTTTTAGTTGAAGTATTTGTGTATTTAAAGTGAAATAAAATTTAGTTTGATTATTCAGGGAAGTCAATTATTGGCGAACCTACGGGTAAAAAAACGTAACAATACATATTGACCCTCTGGTTTGGGGAGATTGGGTATTACATCATTTAAAAATGATTGGATGCGGACTTCATTGGTCATGCTGTATATGATAAAACTTCAAACAATATTGAAAAAATGATATCTTTAAGTTTGTATAAGAGAGCGGTAAAAATAATTATTGAAACTCCCAGACATTTTTATACTAACTCTTTCAAATCTCAATGAGAAATATTCAGTTAATTATCTATTTGGATATATTATTTTTTCTAAAAGTTTCATAACGTTGCATTTGTTTATTTGTTATTCTAATCATTAAGGAAAGCGGAGGCACAATAATTAATTTCCTTGAAATTGTTGCAAAAAAATTTGTAGGAAACTTTTCATAACCTAAATATTTTGGTGTATATAATGGATATCCCATATTAACGTAACATTTGAATAGAAAACACAGTCTTTAGTAATTTCATTATTTTTTTCATTGAATTATAAATAGGACCTCCATGACTTCTCTGGCACATACGCTCCCTTGTTGAAATTTTCCATGGCTATTTTGCATAAATGTGGTTGATGCAGCGTTGAATTCCCTCTTTTAATGCACCTGATAATGTGGGATTGTTGACATACACATTTGACTTCAAATAGCCCTATAAAATTAAATCTAAAGGTGTTAAATCACACCATCTAGGGGCCAAATCGGATCATCGAAACGAGAGAGTACACGACCTAAAAATGTCTCATGCAATATTTGTATTAATGGGCTGTATCACACGTGGCACCATCTTGTTGAAAACGTACATTGGAAACATCAATATCATCCAATTTTGGCACAAAGAACTGCATTATCATGTCGCGATATCGAACACCAGTTACAGTCGAAATTTTTCAACCGTCAAACTTTCATTATTTTTGAGATAATGTTCAACAATAAAGACACGTTGTTCTATCATATATCGCTCCATTTTCATTAACCCTGAACTGCCAAATTGTTTTTTATGGTTGCTAGCACTTCACCGCACATATGGCGGCAAATTCAAATCTTGCGTTAATTTTGGGACACCCTTTACTTTTGTTCTGAAGCATTGATATAAAGAGTATGATATTTTGTATCTTCAAAATTTTACAGAACCTACTTTCTATCAAGGCCTCAAAAACACCCAATACACAAACATATAAAAAGTTATCGTATACCTTGGAAGAAATTTGATCCAAACAGTTCTCTTCGTTTGGGGAGGAACATACAAATTTGTAACATCAGATTTTATATAATCCACAACGGATGACGGAAATTTCACAGCGATAGTCTGTGTACATGATGAGCTATTGTAAATATCAAGACCCAGTTGATAAATGGAGTTGAAAATGCAAACTCCAAAATCTAACACTTCTGGTGACAATTCTATAAAGTGTCCGCGTATTTCCGCAGATACCAGAAGTTCCTGAAATTCGATAAAAATATGTACGGTAGTTTGAATATTGAAAGATTTTGGTATCTAATAATCCAATTCTATTCAATGACCAAGATGCTGCAGGAACTCATTTTATTTTATTGGCAAAGAAAAAAGTAGACATTGCGGTCAACCTGGAGGTGTAGAATGTATAACATCTAGACATTAACAACTATTGTATGACAGAGGTGCTCTCGATACCTTAGAAGCGTTTTAGCTTCTACCAGTTACCAGTCGGGTAAAAGAGACAACCATGCAAACACTACACATAGCAGAGTCAGGTACAACAAACAAACAGATGAAAAGGAAACAGAACACCAAAAGCTGACTTCCATATTGTTGTGAAATATCCACTAAAAAAATTACCACGGCTGACGCTGGGTCTCACCGAACGATTGTGACTTGTACAAGGTTGCGCTTAGCTTCATGTATATGTTTCTCTCTCCATCTTTCTGGAATGTTCGATCGAGTTACATAATACTCCAGTCATTTAAGCCTAAATTAGGTTAGAATCTGGGAATTCGAGATACCCAGCTGTAAGTCTGTAAATACTTGTATATTGACACCCTAAAAGTTGCCTGAAAACCTACAAATGGTAGGGTGTACGCAACTATTAAATTTCAAGGTCAAAGGTCACAAAAATCGGTTTTTTGCGCTTTTTTTGCAAATATCTGATTTCCTATGGGTTTTTTTTTATTTGTATTCGTTATCAATATTGTAGAATACAAAATTCTCTACAATTACGGAATTACTTACGGAATTACTACGGAAAGCGCGCGGTCACAGGATATTTTCAGGACAACCGGTGCCTCCGGTCGAATACGCGTCATATATACTTGATGAACAAAGTCTCATGAAATCCATGAAAACAAACCGAAGGAGGAGTATCTCGTGGTCGAAGTACGAAAGAAAGTGTTTTATGTACGCCACAAATACTATTTGTGAGGAAATGGAGAAGTTCTGTAATATCTCCTTGAAGTCTACCGAGCAACACGTAGATTCCAGAGAGTCAAGAGTGAAAAAAGATAATACTGACGTAAATATACTATTTGATTGGTTTAAACTCCATGATCCTTTTCCAAATACTACGCAGTTAATATCCATAGCTTCTGGAATTGTTGGAAATGAGCAAATTAACGGCCACAGAGCTTACTCTTCCAAAGAATTACTGTCAGCAAACAACAAAAATCCGATTTTTGTGACCTTTTACCTTGAAAATTCATAGTTGCTTACACCCTACCACATGTAGGTTTTGAGACAACTTTTAGGGTGTCAATATACAAGTATTTACAGACTTACAGCTGGGTATCTCGAATTCCGAGGTGAACTTACTATAATGACTGGACTATAAGCATTACCGCCACGTAGGAAAGGCCGTCTAGTTTGAAAAGTGCAGTGTGAAGGGAGCTCATTCGAGCATTATTCTGAAGTTCCGTTAGAGTTGGTTATAGTAGCGAAATAAAATTGAGTTAAATTGTTCAGTTCGTCAATTATTGGCGAACCTACGGGAAAAACGTAACAATATCAATATAAGAATGTAAACTTTCACGGCCGGAGATAACTGTGGGAAGGTAACGGTTGCAATCCCGGGCTGGTGCTCTGGTTCTGGTTCTTGTTGTATCCAACGCATTAACTACTATTTCAGTGATGGGCGCTCTATTTATATGGTTCCTAATTGTATTACCTGCTCGTGTTCGTGTATAGTCGAAGTAACCTGTATTGTGAATAGTTAAAGCTATCGGCATCTCAAAGGCTAAACAAACCAATGTAGAGAAATAATGCCGCTGCCAACTAGTCCACGTGGATTGAAGAATTGGCGGTTCGTATTGGATAATTTTCACTAACCGAGTTTTATGATTGAATGAAGAGACATGAAATTAATTTTGAAGTCATGTTACGGTGATGAATAGAATGTAGGGATGAGTATCGCCGTTGTGTCGTCAATGTTCAGTTCAGGAACTGATCGCGATTTGAGTGTTGAAATTCCATATTGGTGCATTTATAATTACTTACATTTTTTGTTATCTGTTTAAAATGTGGCGTCCTTGGACGAGTAGTAATAGTAATAACGAGTGTGATAACAACGCAGACTTTTTACAATAGCGATGGTTAACAATGCGAAAAAGAGATATCAGTGAATAAGATTCGGATGCATTTGAATATTGAAACACGGAGAGTATGTTTCAATGTGTATAAGAATCTATGTACATCTCAAGTTTGGTTTCGAGGGTAGCAAACTACTACAAACAACATCAGATTTGGCCAAAATTATTTTCTCAACTATACGTAAAATAGTCAAAAACAAACCTTATAAACGCAAGACGCGATGTGATATGGGATTACCAAAACCTTTAGATATTCATCTATTAAAAACATTGAAAAAAACAATATACGACTGTTACGAAAGCAATGAAATTTCTACAACTGAAATCATAAAAGATCTTCAATATCAACGGAGATTTTCATACAAGCTAACTGAGTTCTCACCTGACTGCCAACAAAACTTCCGTCCTCATAAACGTCCAACATATATTTTTCTAAAAAATCACCTACGTGATCAACATTTTTCATTTTGATTTCTAGTTTGAAATTTTCAGAACCATCCACTTCAATGAAGCAGCTCCCGAACGAAAAAGTATTAAATACATTCTCAAATAAGTCCTCTACGATATTTTTTGTAATGTCTTCAAATAAATTTTGGTACTCATTTTCGTTGTTTAGTAGATCTGTCAATTCCAATGGATCGAATATTTTCTTGATGACCGCTTTACATGCCTTTTTGCCTTCATTCTTAAGCTGAAAATGTAGATTATCTTGTAGTGAATCAAACTCAGGTTTTTCAATTAGAAGTTGTTGTATATCATTTGTTATCAATTTCTATGGCGATCTTTCAATAATAACTTATTCGATTTCGATAATTATCGATAACTATAGGGGATCTTGAGGAAACTGGACTGATGAGATCTATGGCGGGTCGAAACAGCACTGTCTGGTGTTAGATCACGAAGGTTTTGTTTTTGGTCTCTGGTTTCAACACGACACTCAACACAAATAAATCAAATCAAGCATTTTTTATATTCAGCATATACCTACAATTCAAATGATACAATAAACTATGGTCATATTCCAATTAGTTTGAATTTGAATATTCACTGAAAATTATGGTCAAGAATATTCGGAAAAAAGTGTAATATTTCCCTCAGATTTTTGCCAATTCATTTCATTTTATTGATGCTTTCTTTATTACTTTCCGAAAAATGAAAATACTCTAAAACTTCATATGAGCTTTGCATTAGGAAAGATGAATTCATTTGAAGTTAGAGGACAATACCAATCCATTCTTCTCATACAATAACACTTATTGTATATTACTGAAAAAAGAAAAGATTGTTTAATAAATACAGGGCCATACTTGAAATCTCACAGTTGATTCGACACCCTGTAGGAAAAAGATAAGTATGGAAGGATTTCTAATATTTCTACAAAATATAAATAAAATATAAATTTCTCGTGAACCAAAACAACTGAAGTCGATTCTTCAGTATCATTCAATAGGATCCAAAACTAGTCAACTTTGCCAAAATGTAACCCTATCTCTATCTCCTACTGTTTGAGAGATCTCCATGCATAACTCGACTTTGAATAGCCCTGTACTACCTATATTGTTCAAATAGGTATTACCACACATTACGTTCATATCAACAAAAAAAACAGAAACTGAATACATCCTTCACATACTGAATATATTATTGTATGCTAAATATATGGGTATAGTGAGCATGGTGAAATAGTGAAATGGGTTAAATCACTCAACATATACAAGTGCTGAAAATTCATGTTATATTTTCCCAAGAAATGAGTCGAATATTCCATGACCAATCTTTTTTCAAATTCATGATCTCAGTATCGCTTTTATCTTTGATAATGGAGGAGTACCAAATGAATTGTCTCTTACAGGAACCCTCAGAAAAGACTCATTTTTGAGAAACATACACAACGAGGAGAAACTAGCAAATCAGGAATAGCAGAGCATGTTTGGACTCATAAACATAACATCAAGTGGTCTCAAGCTGAAATCAGCCTTAAGAAGGAACATTGGTTTAGGAGAAAATTCGAAGAAGTCGCATATATGTTCTTCAACAATGCATTTAGCCAAGTAAGCGTAGAGATACGCAACATATGGAAACCTATAATCAAGCCGAACACGACCAACTCCTGCCAAGTGGTGAGCTCCCGCTAAAACCGATGAAGCGGAGAGAGGGAAGAGGGGATAGGTAAGATCTCGGCATACGCCAGTTGAAAGGGTAAGGGAGACAGGCTCCTAACTGATCGAAATCAGGATGGCTGTCGACGAATAAGTCCAGTTATTCCCGAAGACGATTGTGGATAGTAACAATCGAAACGTCGAGAGGTAACTTGGCTTGGAATCTCTTACTTTTTTAATTTTTATTTCTTGTTAATAATTTTTTAATTTTCATCTTGTGTTAACAGTTCATTTTTTGATTGTTGCTTGTATTTTATTCAATTTTAGTTTTTTGCTCGATATACTTGTTATTATATACAAACTTATAATAATAGTGAACAAAAATATTTTTCATTCGAACAGATACAAAAGCAGAAATGATTGAATGGACAATATTCGAAGTTCGAACTTGTCTCAAACAGCTGCTGAAGAAGAAATTTACCTAATTTTTTAGACAATGGAAGTTCGCAACTAAAACATTTATTTAGGTATAATAGAAAATAACCTACCCTGATGGACTTCATTGAAAGCCTCGCTTGCCAAATGAACATTTTGCCGAAAGAGATGTCACTCTGACTAATCTTCAAATTTGCATGTGGTGGCAGACATCGAATATGCACGAAGAATTGTTGGTACTGTTGATCTTCTACGTCGTAGGAAAGAAATTCAAGTTTCGCTTCAAGCTGTGTAAATGGCTCTCTAGGAATGAAAGTTACATATAATGTCACTGAACATCCACTTGATACTTTCTGGATTCCTAACAGGGGTTGGATTTCGAATAAAAGCGTGTCGTATTCATTTTGTGATGAAATTTTTAATAATCTGAATTTTCGTGGCTGCTTGCTTTTGTTGAGAATAATGCATTTTTTCTTATATTTTTTTCGATATTCACAGCTCTGCAAGAAAATGTTTTATTATGAGAAGCAAGGAATGAAAATAAAAAAATGTAATAGTTTTATGAAGAAAGAAGTTGAATTGAGGTGAGGTGTTTCATCTAAATCCGTTCAGTCGTTTAGGCGTGAAAGAGCCACAAACATACGTACATTAATTAAATCGTGCAGGAAGAAATATTGAATTTGAAAATGCATAGAATAAACCCTGATTTAGATATTTTCAAATAGGAAAATAGTTTGCTATCGCTCGAAGTTCCATAATTTATAGACAGCCATAAAAAACTTACTTCAAATATTATGGTACCTGGTTTACATAAAAAGTTATTATCAATCATTATATCGGCAGAAGAAACTTCTTGTGATAGCATATGCTTGTCTTCCATAATATTATCAAACTTTCGAAATTCTTCTAGTAACTGCGAAATTCGTTCTTTCGATTCCAAATCGATTTTATTTCTTCTATTGCACAATGGCACCACAGGTAACACCAGCTCTGATTGCTCTTTCTGGAAATATGTTATCTATTCAACTATTCATTTGTTTTTGGCTCACCAAACTTTACTTTTGAAGACTTCTTCCCCTTTTTACTTCTTTTCGCAGAATTGATTTCATTTTCCTTTTTGTTCTTCACTTTGGTTACCTTATACTCTTGTTTATTTTTCTTTATATCTTTTTGGCTCTCTTCGTCACCCCTTTCCACTGTTTCATTGTCAGTTTCGTTGAATATATCTGCGACAATGCTGACATGATGCATCTATAAACTCATGAAATTAATATTTAACGTTGTTTTGCCAACATTTTTTCTCAAGGTAGCAGGGAGCAAGAGCTCGTGAATTCCTGACCTTCGTTATTTTATGAAGGCTGAAAGTTTGTTAGACAGGAAATTCAAGTTCAAGGGGTTTTCACACCTCTGCTACCTGTTATCTGTTAAACTACATAGTGGCCCAACATTCCCTACCTACGCACTGAGAAACTTTCAGCTTTTATGAAATAACGGATCTCAGACTACAAGTATGACTCACTTCCCCTGAACTCATCTGTCGTCTTTCAGCTTGGTAGAAATCAGTCTGACGTGGAATATTCCATATACTTTTCTTGGGTTTTCTGCCATATTCTTCTGTAAGTTTTCTCACAATTGATGTAATGTTCATTTTCCTTTTCATGGTTCGGCTATGTATTATTTTTTGATAACAAATTATTCGTTCTTCCACTTTGCGTCTATCTTTTATTTTTAAACTGTTGTAGTTTATATTGAAAGTGTCACAGAATGTTTCCAAATATTTCTGACAATTTTTTTCATATCGTGCTTGTTTAGTTTTTCTCGTGCAGTTCAGGAATACTTTCAGTTTGGAGATTTTATCCTAAAATAAAAAAAAATGGACATGTGAGTAGTGAATTGAAGGTACTAGTTGATAAAAAATGTATTTGACGAAAATGAAGTCAGCAGTTGGAAAAAAGAAACAAACTGGAATGATGAAACTAATCGTGGATCTATATTCTTCATCTAACTTTTGTACTAGTACAGATCTTGGCCAAAGTACTACAGAGGACTGGATCCTCCGTTAAAGGAAATATTAAGAGCAGATAGTTGTTCGTTCACAGATGGATCAGAAACATCTTCTGTTTCTGATGCAGGTGTTTTTAGTCGCAGACCCAGGACAGAGATATCTACCCGCCTAGGAACTTATGCGACTGTATTTCAAGCGAAAATTTACGCTATCGAATTGTGTGCGGAGAGATTGGATAAATCCAACCTCATACATAATTCAATAAAAATATTTTCGGACAGTCAAGCGGCGTTGGAAGCTCTTGGCTCCTACCGAGCAACGTCGAAATTGGTAGCAAATTGCCAGCAACGACTCTCCTCGATAGGAAGACTTAACAGATTGTCCCTGGCCTCGATTTCTAGCCATACTGGCCTGGAAGGCAATCAAGCTGCTGACTTTCTTGAAAAGGAGGGTGCTGCAAGCAGCTTCATCGGACCAGAACCTGTCATTGGTATCGCTTCAGGCTTTGCCAAACAAACATTGAACACCTGGATGGCAAGAAGATTTATGGACTTCTGGCAGAATATTCCAGGATTTGCTCACTCCAAGGCGTTTATTCACCCTTCGAAGCTTGATACCAAAACAGTTGTTGGACTACAGTAGGGATGAACTACGATGTCTAACAGGCCTTCTTACAGGTCACTGTCATTTGAATAATCATATGCAGAGACTCGGACTGTCAGAAGACAATGTGTGTCGCCTCTGTTTGGAAAATGATGAAACAGCAGAGCATATGCTTTGTGCCTGCCCCGCTGGGGACCGAATCAGGTTCTTTGAGTTCGGCAGATCCGTACTCTCACCATCTGACCTGAAAGACCACTCACCATACAAACTAATCGGCTTCCTTAAGAAGCTGGGTTTATTTGGTCTAGTGTGAATAGGTGTGAGCCACAATAAACCCTTGCGGGTTGTGGTGGGGGGTCGAATAGACCCACTCACTTTAGACCTAACCTAACCTAACTATAAAAACTAGGAAAGTGTACCATGGAAAACTGATATACATGTTCTTCAAACTTCAAACTCTGAACTAAACTCAGTAATAGATATTGCATATTTAGAGAAATTGCCTATTAACTTAAAAAAAAACAAAAATGTCCAGTAAATAATACCCTACATCCCTGCAGAGAAAAGGAATTTTCATTTCCACAACAAAATAGTCCCATAACGATAGAAAATACAGATAATGATGATCACGAATAACTGAATGAGGTTCCCCAAGTGTTCCTCAAGTACTTTTTTTAATGAAAGCCCAAAATATTTTGTTACTCAACCTTCCATTTTTTCAGATTCTTGCAAATGTATTCAAATGTTTGAAATACACTTCAATTTTCAACTTAATTTTTGTTTCATTTGAGTGATTTTTTGATCAGGCAGGAAAAGGAAACGAATTCATAAAATGTGTTGATTATTGTACCCAACACTACAAAACCTGATGACTAACATTCCTAACTAATTAGGATGCTGCTTTAAATGTGAAGTAAAAGAATGTTTTGGTATTATGAAAAATACAGTTTATATTTTGATTTTCCACAAAAGCAGTCTTGAAGAGTTACTTCCTTTCTTCTGACTGTTTGTAGGGGAGAGCCAGGTAAACACACGCAGCGGACAATGGTACGCATGGCCCTGGCCCTGTAGTATGTCCAAGCGATCGTTGAATGTCGGCGTTAATTGGATAGACTCGTAGCACAAACGTATTTCAACAACTCTGTTGCGATACTTCCACGCTTGTGTTTGTTAGGCATAGACTATTTTTAGTTTTTGGCATTTTTGTTATAACATTTGTGCGTGATTCAAGTAAAGTCATGAATGGACTGGCCCCTACTAAACCAAATTTTGTAAATATTTCATGGCAATATCGACCAATATTATGTTCGAATAGCTCATAAGACAAATGGAGTAAATCGGGTAATGATAGGCGGTTGCTTACGATTAACCTCATTGGCGTACCATTACCCGCATAGTACCGAAACCATCAGTACAGTACTAGGTTCAATTCAATGCCACAAAAACCCAGGCATTGGTTTTCTCCAAGAAGATAAATGTCTCCGAACCGGATATAATAATGCCAGGTCAGACAATTCCGCTTTCTGCTTCGATAAGTTTGTTGGGGGTTAAAATGAACAACAATATGTCTTGGCACAATCATGTCGCTGGAATTGCAAAGGATACTTCTCTAAAGCTTGAAACACTGTTCCGAACCAGAAAACTGTACACACCTCAGCAACTTTTGATGCTTTATGAAGCTCAGACCAGACCTTCTTTGGAATATTGTTGTCCTGTATGGAGCTCTGCCCCCAAACATATCTTGAATTTGCTGGATTTCATCCGCCTAAATCCGTTAAAACTTTTTTTTCCAATTTGGTATCTTTGTTAGAAAAATCTAAATTTGGTCAAAGCATAATCTTCACTGTTGACGAGACTGATGGGATTTCAACTGTTCAGAAGCCAACCAAGCAACTGGGGCCAAAAAGCGTAAAACAGTTTGGATGAAAAATATCTTGGGACAGTGGGAGGAACGTAACTGCCATTTACGCAATGAATGCTTCTGAGACCTTCATTTCACCCCTCCTAATATTTCTTCGAAAACGAATGTCTCTTGCATTGATGAAAAATGGACCACTAGAGGGAATTTATGCAGTTACCGATAATGGCTGGAGCAACGAAAAATGTTTTCTTCAGTGGTTACACCATTTTAAATTGCATCTAAATTCAAGTAAAGCAAACCGTGTTCTACTGGTGCTCGACAACAATTATAACCATCAATCCATCCCGATTTATAACTATGGCAAAGATAATAGAATCGACATGTTGTCAATACCGCCACATACCTCCCAACTCTAACCTCTCGATACTTCCTTTTTCATTTAAATGCGCTTTCAATAAGGAGTGCGATCTATTTTTTAAACTGGCAAGTAAGAAAAAATAACTTTCCCAGGTTTGGCAGAAATATTTGAAAATGCGTGCGTTGAAATTGCGACAAAAGAAAAAGCTATTCAATCCAGATAAATTTACCAAAGAGGATTTTGAAGTTGCTTGCCAATATTTGCCTACTGTATCTGGTGATTTGGACTCCACAAATCAGCCTGATCCCGGTCCGTCAACTTCAAACATTCCAAGTATACCCCAATCCTGTCCTAAACGAAAGTCAAAAGTAATAAGTGATGTAGCAATGGACGAAGTCAGCATTGCAGAACTTTCACAATTGCCGTTATATTCTGGAAGAGGAAAAACTAAAAAAGGTACCAAGAGAAAGTCAGAAATATTAACAGCTACAGCAATGAAATTAGTGCTCAAGGAGAAGCAACAAAGAAGGAATTAACTTAATTTCGCTCGAGAAGGAAAGGGTAAAAATAGTAAAGCGAAAGTGCAATCACGCAAAAAAAAACAATAAATAAAAGAAATTTGGAATTAGACTCTGATACATCCGAGGACAACGAAATTGACGAGAAAAATCTTGTTGATGATGACGAACTGGATGACATGGATGTGGATTCAAACGAGAAGGATCAATGGCTGTTATATGAAAATTTCGGAAGAGATGGGGAAATTTGGTATAGATGTGTTACCTGCGGGAAGTGCTGAATGCAATGGGCAGGACTCTGCCACTGACTATGAATGCGGCTTATGCAGTAAAATATCCTTTGCAAAAAGGAACCTTGTTGGCAAATTTTAATTTAGTTTCTGAGATATGTTTAATGTTTTTGTTTAACATCTAAAATATGTCTTGAGTTTTCGTTTTTAATACGTTTCAATTACGTATAAGTTAACTTTTTTTGATTTCATGATATTTTATAACAATTTTCAATAAACACGATTTTTTCAAACAGTTTTTATTTGCCTATCATTGCCCGACAAAATGCGTATCATTAACTGCCGTAAAGGGTAATGGTACGCAAACCACACAATTCGGGTTCATCTGTTTCACACCAACCCCTTTTATTTTGTAGAGAAGTTGGGATGGCTATGTTAAAGGGAACATATACATAAACGACTTTGGCAGATCTGCAGGCTTTGCTGATCAAAACATTTGATTTATAACAAAAATATTGCTTATTAGATGCGTATAAATACCCTCATCTCCCCTACTGCTTGTACTACTGGTATTCATTCCAATTTATTCTTTAGTAATATTATTACTCTTGAGAGATATTGAATTTATGTGTTTCATTTCACCTTTATGATTTGGATGCCGTGTTTTTGTCTCCTGAGTATTTCTAAATTTTCTTTTCTTTTTACATATTTTTCAAATTGCTTCGCAAATGCAAATAGTTTTTTAGATTCGGTCGTTTGTGGGTATTTATCTTCAACTATCTGTGGAAACTCTTTCAAATCATTTTCATCATATTGTACCCACATGCATCTCTTGATTATATTTTTTTTATTCCTGATGTACTCAGAATATTCTTCGGAAGAAATAAATTCATCAATAAATTTGATAAGCTCCTCATAGCTTTCTTGTCCATGATCTCCACTGTGATTCACTGCCTCTTCGAAAGCTTGCTCGCCATTTTCGACATATTTTTGCGAGGTATTGATGAACATTATCTTTTCTTATATTTGACAACTTTGACAATTATTCATCAACTGTCAGTGTTGTACGAGTATATCATGTTTAAGATGTGGTAATAAAAATAGGATTTGTTTGCATCTTTATTTTTGATATAGATATTTAGCAAAGATATTCATAACAACAAATTATCATGTGAATGATAACCATAAAATAGATCATAACAATGCCACTGTCTACTGTCATTTGTACAGAATCTAACCAAGCAAAAAGAGTTTTACTGGAATTGATACATGTCAAAAATGAGGATATATCTATCGATAAAAAAACTAATTTGAATACCCTCAGCCAAATTTATACTCAACTTTTTAAATATCAGAAAAAAAATTTAAGTCCACTTCGAATTAAAATTTTCCTTCCTAAAATTATTCTCATTGTCCATCACTTCCCTGAAAAAGTTTTATGTTTTGTAAATATACTGTCACGTTTTTACCCATTTGATGGTAAACCATTTATTTAATGGTTGACCATTAATTGACTACACATAGTAATCAAGCTTAACTTTATTTCACTTTATATACAAAAAACTTCAATTATTATTTGAATGTCTATCGCCTTACTAAATCACTTCGCGTACCGCACTGTAACGTCCACTTGACTGTCTCGAATGTGCTAGAAAATTTCGCTGAAATTCCGTCGAAATCGGTAGCATTATTCTCGTTGCTTCTAAAGTGGCAGGGATCATTGTGTATTCGCGTTATCTCAGCTACATCACGTTTATGGTAACCAGTGGCGGCCGGCGTTATTTCCTTTCGGGCATGTTAACAACACTACCCCCTTCCCTGAAATTGTTTGCCCCGAATAACATTTCAAGAGGGGACATATACATCTATCGGAAGCTTCAGTTCCCAACGTGGATGGTGTATAACCTGTCGCGTCATGTTGGGAGCTCCTGTATGCCAACAGAAAAAGAGGAACCAATTTATCCCAGTCTTTTTGGTTTTCGGAGACAAACATCGGTGCGATTATGCCTCTCGAGCATTCCATCGGATTGTGGGTGGAGAGCAGTTGTTCTTGTCTTCTTTATTCGAACAGAGTCATCATTTTCTTCCATAAATCCGATTCGAAGTTGCGGCCCTGATCCAAGTGTAGTTCTTGGGGTTCTCCGTGTCTGGCAATTACGTTCTGCAATAGGGCTTCTGCCACCGTTTTAACATCTTGGTTGAGTAAGGCTACTACTTCAGGCCATTTGGAAAAGTAATCCATCACAACCATAAGGTACTTGTTAACGGATGTAGTCATAGGGAATGGCCCCAAAATGTCGACTTCGATTCTCTCGAAAGGGCACCCAGTGAGGTCTTGTCTTCGGACTCACAGGTCACAGCGCTTACACCACTCTTCCTCGTTTCGACGGCAATCGACCCAATAGTATCTCTTGCGCACTCTCGCTAGAGTTCTATTTACTCCGAAATGCCCTCCAGTGGGACTATCGTGGAGCTGTTCAAGGAAACTCGGGATACACGTCTTAGGAAGGATCATCTGGAATCTGTGGGTTCTTCCATCCGAGCTTTCCCATTTTCGAGTTAGTAGGTCATCTCGAATGCTCATGGAGTCTCATTGGACCAAGTAACCCTTTTCCTGCTGGCTGTGCCGTAGTGTCACCCTCAGAAGCTGTTAACGAACGTACCACACCATGGTCAAGTGATTTCTCAAATTGTCTGTCCGTATCCCTGGCCAAGGACCCTAACAGGTTGCTACCCTCCGGGTAAGAGGGAACCCGAAGCGGCGGAAGGTAGGGGAGCTATCAGAGCTATCCATAAAGGAGTATCTGCCCGCTACTTTATCACGTCTAGTGGGAAGTTCTTCTTTTGGTAGCTGGGTATCCTTGTCCTCCTGGCGTTGGCAGAATTTGCATCCGGATGTCAGGCATGGTCTTCTTTAGATGCCAGCTGCGTTTCCCTACTTTTTCTTTTCCCAATTTTCCGGAAAACCTCTTCAAATTTGTTTTCGACTCCTTCAAGCTTCTTTTCAAATTTCCTTCCGACTCCTTCAAGTTTCCTTTCAACCCCATCAAACTTCTCATCGACTATTCGTTCCAATCCCTCCTTTGTTTCCTGAAATACTTTTCCAAATTCTTCCTGAATCAATTCCTGTACCTCCCGTTTATTCACTTGGGAAGATGTCAAATCTTCAAATAAATGAAGGTACATCTTATTGTCTTGTTCTTGTTTCTTCTGAATATTCACCAATAATTCACGATATTCCTTTCTGTTTCCTTCTTCTTTTTCCAGAATACCTAGTAGTAATTCACGATCTTCGTTTCGGAGTAATCGTTCTTTCTCTCTTCTGCGTTCATCTTTCTCTCTTCTGCGATTTTCATTCACCGTCAGTCCCGCTTGCAAAGCCTCGAACATTTTCTTAAGCACTTCCATCTCGTCGTAATTGACAATCCTTGTTTTCACCATAAAACAGTAAATTTTTAGTCTATTATTCCACTTCCTACCCCAAATGTTAAGTTTTTACCCGTGGGTTGACCATTAATTGACTACACTGAGTAATCAAACTTAACTTTATTTCACTTTAAATACAACAAACAGTTGAACAAAACTTCAACTATTATTTGAGTGTCTATCGCCTTACTAAATCACTTCCCGTACCGCACTGTAACGTTTACTTGACTGTCTCAATATCCTCGCGGCTGGCGTTTATATATCTTAATGAAATGCGCTAGAAAATTTCGCCGAAATTCCGTCGAAATCGGTAACATTATTATCACTGCTTCTAGAGCGGCAGGGAACATTGTGCATTCGCGCTCTATTAGCTACGTCACGTTTGGTTAACGGTTACCAGTGGCGGCCGGCGTTATTTCCTTTCGGGCATGATTTACAACACTACCTACCTACTTATTATATTTTTCAATCTCACGTTAGTCAGTTTGTGGTATAAAAACATATTTTTGGAAAAAAGGTTGTGGCTTTCTACTTCTCATTATTATACAAAAAATGTGGAAATCTTCCAAAGAAAGAGAAAAAAACACTCCCAAAAATTGATTTATGATTCACATAATAATTCCAGAGCACCCTGGGAATGGAAATTAACTCTGCAATGAAACCAAATCGGAAACGAAAGTATCGAGTATTGAATTAATCGACGGTACATTTACAAAAAATCACCCAGAAAAAATGTAATGCATTTAACGAATATTATACAAATCTTGGTCGAACCCATGCAAGCAGGGTTCGTATGTAGATAGATGCTACAGCTGGAATTTGTTTACCAAAAGAAACTCACACCATTGCATTCAATTAGAACTTCTACCTGCCCTTGTCCTAAGTAAATCCGATTGTGACCACTTATCACTGATCAATCGTTGGCCTGGGGCGAATGGAATGTGGATCCTGCTGAAGATTAATTATTTACTGATCAATATGTTGAAAATTCGAATGAAATGAATATCTCAAATGTTTGCTTTCAACATAATCATTTTAAGTGCTTTTTGAACGTCTTGGTTAGTATGAAGGTGGAATTTAGTTATGCAATGCATACATCCACAAATTAATATGAATACATTAAAAACTGAGTGAACAATGTTATTGAACACTCCCAAAACAGGTCAGTTATTGATTTTTATCTATTGTGTCTTTAAATAACACCGGGTGATCTGTTTTCGAGTAATGAGGTCATCACCGATTTTTTTTAATTTGTTTATTTTTTAGGAATGTAGGCTTTCGAATAATATGTTATCTTGCTGAGTTGATTCCAAAAATGTATTCAAAGTAAAAATTTATCAAATTAAACGACGTTCTTAAAAACAAACAAAGATATGATTCCTATAAATGTTCCTGACTGTTAGACAGTGACCTATTCTGACTACATGGCATTTTGTAATACGTTCTTCATTTTTAAGGACAGGGATATCATGAGGTTTGTTAGACTTAAGATAATGAATGACCTAATTAGGATCAGGTGATATAGCAGGACATTCTCCTGTTCGCCTGTTTTCTAGACACCGTTTCGGTAGGATTCTGATAACAAATTAGCATACCTGTTCCAGTTGAAACTAGAACCCTAAAACAAAGCTTTCGTGATCCAACACCAGATAGCGCTGTTTCAAACCACCATAGATCTCATTGGTGGTACCAAACTGAACCATAAATGCGATGCTTCACTCAACTGTCCTTGTAGGAGCAGCTTGAGTGAATCAATGCGATGTCATCTTCCTTTACGCAGACGCAATATGTGCGAGAGACAGACGACTCACTCCAAAAGATAACCGAGGCTCTCCAAGGCAGTCCGTTTAAAAGCCAATCTTTAACATCGACCGCCAAACGAGATTCGTCTTCTGTGTTCCTCTGCAGCTTTCACTGCAAGGCAACTAGATGAAACCTGAGCCCAAAATCTGTTTTAACCACCCGCTATGGATTTTATCAGTGATGCTAGGCTGAATCACGAATACATTGCTGAGCTCAACTGTCCTTTAATGATAAGCCCGAATAACACAATGCGATGACTTCAACCCTTACGAAGGTTATGTCTGGAATCAACAGAAGACTTTGGGAGCCTCGTTTATCTCTGAAATTCATAGAGGGGATGTCATTGCCTTGTCTTACTCAGACTTGTCCTTTAAGGACAGTTGAGGTCAGCCATGCATGAATGCATAATATGAATGATGCTTAAGAGCCTTCAGAAGTGTAGAGGGTGGCCTTTTCAAGTCCACATTGCATAATCGTACATTTTATAAATTTTTTTCCGAACTCCACCTCCAAAACCGAATCCATACAATTCGTAACTCCTATTTATTTCGTCTGCAACTGCGGCAGACATCATCAACAGTATGTGCGTTGACTGCGAGGCGAAGGTAATATCTCGAAGTCTCAGCAACGACTAACTGGCGAGCTCCATGTTCATTCGAATTTATATTTTCAGAGTGGTGAGGTGCTGGTGGGTATTACTATAAATGTGGTGGTAGGAATGGTAGTGAGGGGTGGGAAGACCATGCGAATGCTCACTCCTGATTGGTGTGATCTTTAGTTGGGCTGTTTCGATAGGTTCACGTTGTTGGCGGGTACGCTGCTGGTACCGCCAACAATTCTAGTCCCTTTCTGACCTTTTTGGGTAATGTTGACTTTTGTTTATATATTTGGGATGCTTATAGATCTCAATGGCCTTCCTAACAATTCGTGCGTGGTAATGCATTGAATTAGACAGGCCACCAGTTTCTTCGAATTTTATCATGAGGTCTATTTCTGCTAGGACATGTTCTGCAGCGGCGGCTTTCTCCGGTTGCCTTATGCGGCAAATGTGCTTGTGTTCTTGTATTCTGATGTTGATCTGCCTTTGGTAGTTACAATATAAACTGAATCACAGGAATAGGAAATCCTGTTAACACCAGCGGATGTCAGTGGCTGTATTTTGTCCTTGGCCGATCTGATAGTATTGCGTAATAGATTAGTTGGTCGGGAAATGGTTTTGATGTTGTAAAGTTTTCCAATGCGGTTCATAACTTCATTTATGTAAGGAAAGTGCCTACCACTGGCGGATGGATCGTGGATCGAACTAATTCTTCTTCCACGATGTAGAGTACTTTTTTGCCCTAAAAATAAATCATTATTTTTATTTATCTGTATTTATGTATCCATATGGAGTTTGTTGTTTCACATCCGTTGTTGAAATAATAATGTTTTATTGAAAGGAAGATTTAATATTTTCTGATACAAAAGTACAGCCAATTTTTTAAACCGGATTCTTCAAACAGTCATTCTCAACAGTTTTAAAGGAGCGGTGCTGAACGCTTATTCTCGAAAGATTTTACCTGGAAATTAACCACCTAGCTGAGAGGACTTCCGATGTCTGAGGAAATTGCGAGTTGCAAGTAAATCTATCGATATTCCTGTATGTGTTTGTCTCAATGTACTGTGAATTTATGAAATTACATAAATTAATTTATGATTAAATATTTGAACCACTACCAAAGGTTATCATTCGTTTCTCGAGAAGCGATTCGTGTTCCTTTGTGTTTCTGTCGTCTGATTATTCGAGCCAATAAAAAACAATGTAGTGCGAAAACATAAACTTGTGAGAGTTTCCCTGCCATCTATTTCAGTTTCCTTTCATTATTACTCACATAAATACATACGTCAACTATGTTCAATAACAGTGACTTTGAAAATAAAGTGAACTATTAAAGATGAATTGTCACCCAAAGTAAATAAGTTAATTAGTACCTACATGAGCAGATATTCAGACAATGCCAAGATATACAAACTTATCATATTGTTTTATGAACTTTGTCAAACAAACTATAAAATTATAATTAATACTTCTAGTAAGGGTCTAGTGACGTGATTCAAGGAAGAGCAGAGATTGGTTCCTCTAGGAAAGTATCGAAAAAATGAATACGATCACATTTCATTGTTAAACACACTGGGAATCGGGAATCATTGTGGAGGTTAGTAATTTCATTTGGAAAAGTGATTTTAGAATTTATGTTAAGTATTTTTTTCTATTATTGTCAGGAAGGTGATATTTGAAAAGTTGATTTTGTGGCCTCATCAAAACTTCATAATGTCAAGTATTATAGCACAGTCAATATTGGTTTCATTTTATCGTTCATTTATTATATGGCAATATGAAAATTTGAAGACAAAGTGAAAGTGTACTGTGATAACATATTGAATAGTCATCAAAAATATTTGTAAACATTTCAAAGAAACCCATTGAATGTTTTAAAAATATGTTCATAATATTTTACATAGAATTTTTAAATTAAAACAATATTATTTCTGTAAACGTTTCCAAAATGTATNAAAAGGTTCAGGAGCTGAAGAAGATGCTCCGGGCTGCCCTGATTGGCAAACCCGAGATCCAGTGGGAGCGTTTTCTTCCTGAAATCCTCTTCATTCTGATGGTCCGAGTGTATTCAGCGACCAATATTACTCCCTCTAAATTGTTGTTAGGCTTCGAATTGCCTCGGCCAGGCGACTGGAATTCTTCTTTGTAGACGCAAACCTCAGAACGAGGAACGTGTTTGGGCCAAAGCATTTTCGATTCCCGTCATGCGGAATTGTAAACAAATTAGTTCAGGTTTAGAGGTAGGGTAAGATCCTCCTTACATATGATGTAAGGATCAAGGATATAAGTTAGGGCTTAAGTTAAGTGGGAAACTATGTGAATGCATAAGGCATTATTGCAACCATGATATTGTTTATTTGTAGTTTGATTTTTTTTAAAGAGCAGTTTCCAGCCTCGGGCCGATAGAAACTGAATGCCACTCTTTGAAACTAGGCGTGTTACCAACGTCCAAGTGAATGAAATAATTTAAGAAACAAATTGGAAATGAATTCGTGGTAGTTAGGTAGGTCGAATCGCGGAGGAGTGTGTCGAGTAGGTTACGGTCTCTCCCGCGGCGCATTCATCTTATCTAGTTGACAGGGACTTTTCTTTCGAAAAATTTCATGCCAGCTTAGTCGCAAAATTTCCTCAAGGAATGATCCAATATTTTTTAATTATGTTTGCAGGAATCGTTTGTTCAAAGTTGGTTCTAGGCCAGAAAGTCTTTAAGGTGGGTAATGTGGAAATATATTTCATATTTTTCTTATATTGCAGTTTACCGGCCTATATTCAATTCATCAATTGCTTTTTTGAATTCTGTCGACTGTCTGCCCTAAATATTCATCTCATCTGTTAGTTTTTACATGATTTGGAAGTGTGCCTTCATTCTCAAATTAGGCAGATCTCAGCAGCTCAAACATTTTTACCTACCATATTTAACAGCAGTATCTAGAATCATTATAGCTAAAAATGAAATTATTGATTTAAACTAGCCGGTTCTTGATTAAAATCCATACCAGAACTTACTAGTAAAGTGAACTGTGTCATTTTCACAATGAAAGATTCATAATAACACGGCAAGTGTTTTGCTATACCATAGTTTTTTCAAGCATGATAAATAGGCAGAGTCGTACTTGCTCCATTTGCAATATAACCTCTATAATAGTTACTCTTTCCCAGTAAATCATAAAATGTGTTTGCTTCATTCTGAAACAACGAACTGGGAGTAACGTTACCTTTATGAGGAGTCAGTCTTTCCACGTGAATGACTAATGGCCTTCTTCTTGAAGTATTTTTTTTATGATGTACTGTTTGGAACCTTTGGTGAAGTAATGAATATTACTGGAGTTTCGAATTTCGATCACCAAGTGATCATCTTCAAGAGGAAGATAAAACTGTAAACTTCGTGAAACTAAAGTTATTTATGCTGTACATAATTAGCCTTATCTATTATTTCACATATGTCCTTATGTAATGTTTAAATGTTACAGCTATATATAAAACAATTTTCAGCTATATAAAAATACTTACAATGTTATCCTTATTTATACCATAGAGACCTCTTTTAGGTACCTGTGGCTTGAGTGTCTTAAATTAAATTCACAATGTTGCTTAACTATCAGTCTTAAATTAATTTTACAATGTGTCTTTATGTAATAGTCAGGTAACTCTATTATTTTAACAAGCTATGTAGTATGCAATTTGGTATTGGTCCGTCATCGTTATTCATAATATTATTATGTTTACTTATTTCTATAAGACATTTCTCATAGGCATAGATGCCTATTATTATGAATAACGATGAGGGACCAATACCAAATAGCATACTATATAGCTTGTTAAAATAATGTTGTTGGGTTTACTGATTGCTACATAAGGACACATTGTGAATATATTTAGATAGGCAATATTGTGAAATTAATTTTTATACAGCTGAAAATTGTTTTATATATAGCTACAACATTTAAACATTACATAAGGACATATTGTAAAATAATAGATGAGGCTAATTGTAAAATTAATTTAGGGTGGTATACCTGTATGGTTTACCTGCATGATATATCTGTATAGCATAAATAGCTTTAGTTTCGCGAAGTTTCCAGATTTATCTTCCTCTTGAAGATGATCACTTGGTGATCGAAACACGTGTCGAGGTGTTAAATATAACGAATTGGTGTTGGGAAGAAACTCCAGTAATATTCAGTAATTTTTTTGTCTAACCTCTTTTTCATTAGGTCGTTGGTTTGTTGGTTACATTTGAAAGTTGTCTCGTTGATTCGTGCAATATTTCCAGTTGCTCTCTGATCAACTTCCAGATCTCAATATGCGTTTTCTGGCCTGTAAAGTGGAAGTTAGCTCATTGTTTCTTGAACATCAGTACTATTACCTATTACTACCGTCGGCATTTGTTGCTATCGTTCGTCATGAAAAAGAGTTGTAGAATGCAACTTCCTTGAAAGGGGTTCCTGAAAGAAATTGTGCTATTTTTCTTGACCCATGTCGTATATCTTTTTTTTTAAACTCAAACGTCATATCTTGTACATCAGTCTTCAACATAATAGCGGCGAAGTTGGATGCCAATGATTCCACCAAAGATTAATATGAGTGCCATAACAAATCTATCCTTGACAACCGCACCATATTTGGAAACTATTAGACAAGTAATATGTCAAAAAGTTCAGTGTTATAGTTATGACACGTATTGGATGTCGAAGTGCTCCAATTGCTTTACCTTAGACCCAGCTGGTCGTCAAAGGTCGTGCGTAAATAGAAAAGTGTAATCCAAAATCTCTTTCTTGGTTTATGATGAACTAAAATTAGGAAAAAAAATATTGATAAGATAAAATATCAACTACCTGAGTATATTCATTATTTTCTGCCTGATGTGATTTTTATCAGGCTTCATTTCACAATGTAAATTTCTAAATTCACGAACGTTCTGTATCCACAACATTTTTCTCCATCTTCTAATTATTCACCACTCTGTATAATGTTCCAGATTTGGGGCATAATGAGCATGATTTCTGCCATTTAAAAAAATACATTCAATACTTTGTATTACTTTCCAACAACCTGTAACCTGCTTTTCAAAATTTATCATTTCATATTTTTGTAACACTTTCTGTAAGTTTGTGAAATCTCATACATCCTTGAGTTTACAAACTAATTGCGTTACTAATAGAGAGAAACTTGGAATTCCATTTCAAATAGGTCCGAAGATTGAGTATCGTTTCTGAAATTCCCTTATGCATGAATGTCTACAATTCGACCTACTGAAATTGTAATAAAAGTTCTGTAACAAACTTCCTTATCCATTCCATTCATCTAAGTCTAAATACGGTGTGTAGGTGGAGCATATGGAGGGGTGTGGAATACAATACTCGTTTCGAAAATATCTTTCATTTATTTGACACTCCAAAATATTATCTGTGATACTACGAAAGATTACCTATCTCAATGCTGATGAAAACTAGTTTGCAATTCGTGAAATTCAACAACATCCTGTCACTGATATTTCTAATATTTTTTTATACGAAATTCGAAAGTAAAATCTCTCATCATAACATTGAAGACGTATTCAACATTACTCAAGAATAACAAACGTAAAAAAAATACCCATGTTTGAGGTAAATTAACCCCTTTGGGTAGTTTGTCTTAGCCGAAATACTTTTTCCATTATTTTTTTGTTAACATACGTAAACGTAAAAAAAAATTTGTCCTTGGTAATATTGTAAATATGTACCACTCAAATACCTTCAACAGAAATCTTGATCAAAACGGGTCTGGTTAGTTTTTACAAAGTCATTAACAATTTTTAAGAGTTAGGAATTAACACTTTTATCTTATCAGTAGTATCAACTCTGTTTTTTCTTTCAGTGTGAACCTGACTTGAAAAAATGAAAATGAAATGCTAATACTTCGTGCGCAGCGAATATGCTTTGTTGTTTATAAAAAATGCGAGTGCAAATCAGTTGGGAACACACAGAACCAGTTGTCGGTGTATAGTTTGATGTCACAACTACCACTTTAATACATATCGCGAATCCTTGTGAAGTTATTAACACTTAACTAAGTTACAGTGGCACCCAAACCATGTACCGGCAGCTACCAATTATTCTCTCTTCATTTGATAATAACATAGCGGTTCAAAAGTAAATAATATCAAATAACCTGGGTATTTACAGATGGATCCAGAGAAGGATGTAGACGTTAGAAGTGAAGAACAAAAATATTTAATGGATGATGGAGTTTTCATAATATCCAAAAATGAACGAAATGACGTTACCATCACGTGGCGAGACACTTTGAAACAGGTATGACAAATCGGGCCCTTTGACTTAATATTTACCTATCCTTTGTCTGTGAAATGATAGAAAAATTTGTTATGTAATAATCTAATCACTTCCAACATTACAATTGTTCAATTACAAAACAATTTATCTGGTTCTTTGAAAGTAATGTACCATCTAGTAGCTGAAAGATATGTGACTATATTCAATGAACCCTTTCGTGAGCAATAAAAAGTCAGTATTAATATTATTTATTTTCCAACTTCTGGTATGACAATTGGAAATTTAATGGTTATATTAAGCATGAAAACGAACAATTTTATTTTATTTTAGAAAACTACTTGAGTCTATTTGCTATTGATAGAGAGCCCTCATAAATCTGGAATATATGCGTAGTTGGAGAAAATGATTCGATAACGTTCTACAATGCTCATCAAAAAGTAGACACCCTATGGAAAACTTTTAATTATTGATTTTCTCACAAAAGTTGGTTCATCATCACATCATCAATCATCAGTTCGGGTATTTGAGTAGTTTTTGGGAGAAAAGCAATCTCATATTTCTAAATGATGAAGATATATATATATATATATATATAT